TTTGATTTCATGGCTAGATTAATGATCCTTAATGGACTTGCTTTCGTTTGAAGTGCTAAGTAAAATAGAAAGGAACTGCTAATTGGCGAAATTATACTGTAATTTGAGCATGAATATCGTCTTCATCAAGTCAACTGATTCTCGTGCTTGTAACATAACAAATTAAATTTAGTTAAAACCATAAAGTGAAACTCTTCATTGGCAAAGAGTAAAACGCCTCCTCTCCGCATCGAGGCTTGCCGTGCATGGACAATGTGCACAGCTCGTTACTTTCTGACTGGAGGTGTATTTCTATTGGCTATTCAAACAGGCTCGAAAACCTCAAATCGAAGTTCGCCGACTCTCCTACAATCAGGATTTCTAAGTTTGCATAGAAGCAATAGAACAACGTGCATAGAACATCGCTGGACAATTATTGGGGAAGTGCAGACCATTAGCCTCCCCACTTCCAAGAACTCAGAAAGAGGATTACTATTAACACGAACACTTGCGCCATACTCAGTCTTCAGTATTTCTCTGCAAAATGACTACATACAGCGGAGGAGAAAGGCTAGAGAGATGAACATCGCGAAATAGGCAACTGCTGAAAAATGAGACCTTTATGCGAGCTCAGGCTGGGCAATGTTTTCTTAAGAAGTTCTAAATAAATTACTGATTCCGAGCTTGAATATTCTTATAAACAATGAAAAGAGTGTACTTAAATTAGTCGAAGAATCAGGTACGATAATCGACACAACAATAAAGGCCATCCTATATAAACATTGCAAGCGACAGATGAGGACTGAACTACAGTCTTTGTTTGATTACTGTACCACAGATATAAGTATAACCTTAACTAATTCCTTGCTCTGTCAATTAATTGCATACTAATTAACTAAAGTTGTAAAATATTTAACCCAGTTTATTGATTCCACTTCAAGATAGAAGTGCCAAAGCATCTGTTTTCTTATTTGCGTTGGGAGACGTGGTTCAGCACTGGCGGTTACTCCCCTGTAGTGAAATGAAATGACGCAAATGAAATTTAGATTAAATTTTAGACAACAAATACCAGCGACAAACCACGGGCGAGTTCTTAAAAATTGACCAAACCTCACAAGATCAGTGGTAAAATAAGAAAATGCTTGAATAAATTCTGCATGACATGGCATCTTTGTTTAGAATGAGATCAGTGCTGCTTTTGCGAGGTTTCTTCTCATCCTGCATTTTGAACCGTGCTGGGGTATAGCAAGCAATAGGCACGCAAATAACAATCTTGGGCATTTTAGGCATTCAGTTTATTTTAGGCATTCAGTTTATTTTAGGCATTCAGTTTATTTTAGGCATTGAGTATATGATGCCAATTGGGATAGGAACATTAAATTTGTTAGGAAAAGTTGAGCAAGGGAGCTTTTTTCACAACATTGGTAAAATTGGTTTATATCCATGGCATATGGGTATTTTCGATTGAGCACCTTCAAAATCGAGGGGCGATTCACTCTTGCAAATAGCGTACGAGATTTTGCCTAAAACAAAAGGATTTTAGGGGATTTTCAGATAAAACAATAGGATTTTTACAAAAAGTGAACGAGATTTTTATAGAGTGATTTGCCCCTTGTTCTGCAACACTTCCGGGGTCTTTGGAGCAGGTCTAGTTTCACAATGACGACTTTATCACCCCTGTCTGCATAATCATTTTGTTGCGTACTTTTAATAAACCCTTCTCTGTAATCTGATCATCTGAAAACTGACGAAAATGTCTTCGCCAAATACTTAACAACTTAGATGCTATTTGATTCAGTAAGAAGAAGCTTTATTCACGTGACCTGCGCGAAGGAGGTCCTGTAGCTGACAAGGATCCTGACTGGCTTTGCTATGCAGTAACAAAGTGGTTAAGTAGCATCTAAAACCTCATTTCCGCAATCTTTGGTAAAGGATCATAACTTGAAGTTATTATTATGTTCATAGCTAGAGCGACGATACATAGAGTAATGGCACTCAGGCTCTACCAAAATTATCAGGTCATCTGCGTTCTACCTAAGGACACCTGCGCCAGGGGAGGGGGCATCATGGGGCAGTTACCCCCTTTGCCCTTGCAAAATTGAAAATTTTTCTTCTTTTTACTTTTGTTTAGCCCTTTTTCTTAGCGCTTCCCCCCCGTTGCAAGTTTTTAGTGCAAACATCCGTGGTTCTACCTTAGATGTTTGCTTGAAAAAGTTTGCTTTTAAATCGATCAAAAAGATTGTCAGTGCTTTAAACAGTTTGGACCTATGCCCTTCTCCGTTTGTCTAAGTTTGAAATTGCTCTAGAAAGGCGGTTTGTGTTTAAAATATTCTTCATTTGTCTTCTCTGTGCATTCGAAACATCCATCAATAGAATATCTAGTTTTTCGGAATACATACCTTAATTCAAACACCTCCATGGTTTTGCCAAGCTACTTCCTAAACCAAAACTTTCTCTTTAGTCAAATTAAAAAAATGGATGACTGTGAAAACGCACCAGAAGACCACAGAAAAGGAGGAATTTCGGTCTGTTCCGTATCTCTTGCGAGCCTTAGTACCTCACCGCACTTATTAGATTCCGTTTTAGATCCCTAATTTAGTTGTAGCTCTCTGTCATTAAACCGTACTTGTCATTAAACAGTAAGATGTTAAAAGTACTAAATTTGTCTTCATGATTGCTTTATGTCCAGAATCTCCCTTTGGTCTCTCATTGCTGTACCAACCACGCCCTACTTGATGTCGGAACGGTGCAAATTGAGGAGAGGCTGAATTGAGGGCTTGTGAAAACACCTTCCAGTCTTCTTTTGGCCAATGCAGAATTACTTGGAGGCTATCCAGCTCTTTACGACATCAACATAGAAATCGCAAGCGGCATGATTGTAAGAGGATTACAAATTGAGCTCATCATCGGTGCATAGCGTTCACATTTGCACCAACGTCCAACAAAGGTCTGCTAATACAGCCAGTTATTATATATAGCCATCAACAAACACGTGCTTTAGAACAAGTAAACACGGTATTTTTTGATAAACTCTTTACCTGTGTACCAATGCGACATGTAAAAGCGGAGGAATCGTATTGGATTATGATGAAGTATCCATTGTTAATACCGAAAAGCATATTGAAGATTCTATATCAGTCTCTTTATTAATAAGATCAATCAAAGACCTATCAAGATAAGACCAACCAGGCTTGGTAGCTTCTATCAAAGAAAAACATGCTTTTGCCTACCGGTCATTTGCAAGCCTTAGAGGTTAGAACAGTCTGACCTATAAGCAGGCTCGTAGCCAAGAGGTGGCACGAGGTGGCAATGCCACCCTGGCTCAAGAGCATACTAGCCGTTTGCCAACCCGATAATTTTGTCTCTAAATTTTCTAATGGCGTTTTTTGTCGTCATCATTAGATGGCCATGACAATTTGAGTCAAGCTAATTCTGACGGAAGGAAAATTGTTTATTGGGGTCTCCAATTATTATACATTTAGGACTTAAGATGGTGCCTGGCGATCAAAAAAAATTTTGCTGCTAAGCAAAAACTTGAAAAGAAATACTGCTTAAACGTCTGCCTGCAACAGGTTTGGGTAGTTTGCCACCCCTACCCCATAGGCCTGACTACGGGCATGCCTACAAGGCAACTTACTTATAAGATGGGAAACTTTGTGATGCTCCTTAGAATTTGAGATGGGGTAACTGAGAGTAAGTTGTACCTTCAAGGCAAACCTTAACCTAGCAGTCATCCTTTCAACTAGCGACTTTCTCTACGCTATGAAGGGCATACTCTCTACCCTTGCCCCCAGTCTGTTCCAATTTCTTTCATTAAGAAGGATACTTCTAATCTCCCTTTTGCATTTTGAGCAGAATGGACAGACGCAAATGCCCAATGTTGACCATGGAATACAGTTTCATTATCAACAACAAACAAGAAATCGCAATCAGATTTCTAGTGGAGACAGTTGTATTTGTGAATTCTGTGTTATCTCCGAATATTTACAAATAAATCAAGCACTGCGTGTAATAAACAATTGAATCTAAGCACCATGTTGCAGTCACGAACAGTCAAATAATATACCATTAACAGAAATTGTTATCAAATCAGACCATTTTCAATAAGAAACCTTGTTTTCTGTGTTCCATGTGAGATGTTATGATGCTGACCACAATTCATGTCTCCCCTAGTTCCGAAAATTAAGCATCTAAACATCTCAATTTGAAAATCAGATGTTTTATTTTAATCGATTTTTCGAATAATGTTGGTCTAATTGTTGGCTTAATTTTGTTATGCTCTGAAGACTTGATCTCATCCCGCAGTAATGGTTATGTTTCTTTTTGATTTCTCCAATTTCTTTTCAACCCCCCATATGATTATATATAGAACATCAAGGGCCGCTTTTTTTAGCCCAAACAATGAACTTGAAGGACTTGATATTTACAATGAGAAGAAAGCAAAAACGCATGAACTCATGTTAAATTCTTGCACTTTCATTATCCAACATCCTATTCTTAGTTCAATAAGACCTAGTAAAATTTACTGCTAAAAAAAATCCTTTAAAAGATGAAGCATATCATGTGTTTCATCGAAAAATACCTTGCTTTTGGAAACCTGCAGAAGACGCCACGAAATATAGTATCAACTTCGTTAAAAGTCAATCAATGATCACAATTTATCTTATACTGTATCAAGTTTCCCCAGCAAATGTTGTGGTGGTAGATTAAAACATAATAAAAGTTGCAATGACAACTCAAAGACCTTTTTTCTTATAAATGTAAGCTTTTTTGATAAACGATCAGACCTGTTTGCGTGAACAATTTGTCTGATAAAGCACCTACGCGATCACAATTAACTTTGGTCAATAAAGCGTAAGTATTTAGCACCAAAAGTCGAGAAAACCATGAAGGCTTTGACAATTAGCCTCGTGTGGTCACTGAAATACAATTTGATCAGGACATATGGGAATGAGTTAAACAAAAAGATTTATGCTTTGAATTAACCGACGCGACCAACAAAAGAGCGGCCGAGGGAGCAGGGCCGCAATCCATTCATGAGCAGTGTACAAACAGGGAAAACAAAGGACAGGCTTTTCACATGTCCAGTGAAGTAGTCACTCAGACTTGGAAGGAAGATGGAAGGACGAGTGTTCTCGCGTTTGGCTCTTGAGTTTTTCGTCATTTTTATATCGGTTGTTTATGGACAGGGCTTGAATGGAGACGGAAAATGTGAGCGAAATAGGGTTCATGATTGTTATGGATGGAACTATACACTTGTTCCAAATGAATTTTTAGGGATCGAGACACAACATGATGCGAAAACTCGGATTGCGGAATTCAAGCCACTTTATAAGGTGAAATGTGCCCCTAACTTGAAGCTGTTTATTTGTGCCATGTCTGTGCCACTGTGTTTTTCAAAGGATGGAGTAGCCACACCTGTTTATCCTTGTCGATCCATGTGTGAGGTTGCTCGAAAAGGTTGCGAGCCAATCATGAAGCAATATAACTTTTACTGGCCACAAGTCTTGGATTGCAAGCGACTTCCAGTGCAAAAAGAGGGTACAGTTTGCATGGCATCTCCGGAGGATAAAGGGAAACCGAAGGAGCCGAAGCGAAACCAGTCTTTGCCGTACAAGCAGAAATGTGAACAACATAATGAATTTGTTTATGTTAGCGATGGGGAAAATCACGAGTGCGCACCGAAATGCAATGCAAGTATAGCTTATCAGAAAAAGGAAAAATCTTTCATCGGAGCTTGGGTAAGCACTTGGTCAGTGATTTGCTTTTTATCCACGCTTTTGACAGTTTCGACTTTTCTCATTGATCCATCGAGATTTCATTATCCTGAAAGGCCGATAATATTTCTATCAATGTGTTACAACCTGTATTCAGTCGGGTATTTAGTGAGAGTGTTTGCAGGCCGCGATGCAATAGTTTGCCAAGAATCTCGTAACGGAAAACACCTCATCTCCGACGGAATGTCAAACACATCTTGCACAATTGTGTTCTTTATAAATTATTTCTTTGGCATGGCCTCGTCCATTTGGTGGGTTATTCTGTCTTTGACTTGGTTTCTTTCCGCCGCACTCAAATGGGGTCACGAAGCAGTAGAGAAATACGCTTCAATTTTTCACGCTATTGCGTGGACAATACCCACTGTTCAAACGATTGTAGCCCTCGTCACACGCAAAGTCGATGCCGATGAACTATCCGGATTGTGCTTCGTGGGTTTTCATAGCAGCATAGCTCTCTTATGGTTCGTTGTTATCCCCTTATTTGTTTATCTCATTTTTGGATCTTGTTTCCTACTCAGTGGGTTTATTGCCTTAATTAGAATAAGAAGAGCCCTGAGATTAAAGGAAACAAACACACAGAAATTGGAACGACTTATGGTGCGAATAGGCATTTTTTCAATGCTTTATTCCATTCCTGCCAGTTTTGTAGTTGGGTGTTTTTGGTACGAATACGAAAATTTGCTAGCTGTTGAAAAATTCACAAGTGACCCATTTACGTGTCACTTGAACCCGGAGTGCAAGGAAATCCGGGGTGTTCCGCCAGCGATTCTTTATATGAAGTACTTCATGTTGTTGGCTGTCGGGGTAACCTCTGGTGCGTGGATATGGTCATCAAAAACAGTGCAGTCATGGAAAAAGTTTTACTACAAGTGTTGCGGGCAGGGTTATGATGATGAGCTGAAAAAAGGCAGAAAAGAGCTTAATCACAACAGAGGAAATCAAGCCCATGACCACATGCAAAATGCAACGGCATATACGCAGAGGTCTGGAAACATGTACGAACTCGTTCAACCAATGACGATGAACTCAGTTGTCACTCCCACGCAGTATATAAACACGCAGAGGTCAATAGACCCAGTTTCGATGTACCTCGGGCATCGCCCGAATGCGACACAGTTCATGAACACACAATCTATGGGACCCGTCATGACGACAATGGCACCGATGGGTCCCGTCATGACTCTACAACAGTCTGGACCCTATTATCCTGTCCCAGTCGTGGCACAGTCTGTCGTTTCAAATCCAACTTCAAGTGGTCCTTATAAAAGTGTTCCAAAAACTGTGACCCCGCGAGGCAGCACGAGCACGAGTCATTATACCTCGGGCAGGACCACAGACAGTGAAAAATGCGGCAGTGGGGGGAGCAGGATCATTTAAATCGGTGAAAGTAGGCCTAGCAGGTGGGCGGTATCAAGTAGGCGCAGAATGATGCAGCTACAGAATCGATGCCTCTAGATACACATGCCTGCAGGATTTTTAAAGTAGTGGGTTATAACAGTACCCTGAACGGTGCAGGTTCGAAGAAAATGTTCACAATCAAATTTCCGATAATGAAGAGAACGTCTACAAAGTCACTGAATAGATGATGTCTTGAGACAAGGCCTTTTAATTGGCAAAATACCGAGCGTTTATTGGCAAGTTACCGTGAGTTTATTTAACTAATTTCTAACGCATTAAAGTAAAATGAATGCAAATCCTTCTAAAGACGAATCTCACTTTGCATTCCCCTTTGTTGACTGTCCTATTAATCTTCTTTAATGTTTCTCGTTGTATCATATAATTCGATTTGAATTTTATTGGCTCAGGAAATTGAATCTTCGAGAAAACCAGGACACACGTAGAAGGGGATTTTTTAATAACAATTTAACAACAACGTGGATAATCTATTAATAGCATTTTAGTGTCTACGAATATTCTTTCCAGTAATCTTTCGTTGATACAGTATTATTTATCTGGGGACATTGACTTAGCGTTTCTGCCAAGTGTACCGCGATTCTTAACCCTTTCCGATTTCTAACTCTCATGTCAATGTAGATCTTTTATGATCCGCTTCAAAATTCTTAAAAGTCTTAATATGAATCCAGGTATTAATAGAGCCATTTGGGGCATCCATAAAAAGACCTTTATCAGAAAGGTTTCGTAATACCGTTTGTATGATAGAGACAGAGGGTGCTGAGGAGGGAAGACGATCCTCTTTACCTCTTTGCCCTCTCAATAAATTTTAGACAGTATGCTCACGCTAGACGATCTGACAGAAGTTGAAATCTCATACATCTTTCGTTGGAATCTTATGGTTTTGTCCCTTAAAAATCCCTAAAGCACTTTTATTTCGATAGAAACTTCGTAATTCTGTTGCAAGAGGGAACTGCCCCTCGGTATTTTAATCCAGCTAAATAATAGAAAGTCTCTTTGGACCCCGTCCTTGTTCAACTCGTAAGCAAGAGATATTGCCTACATAAAAGGGTGGAGAGGAGAGGTCGAGTGCGTAATTGGTATAGGGAGGCTGGGTAGACAGAAAATCATAAGGTTTTGGTGCACTTTCTTTGTTGATGCTCCCGAATATACAAGGTAAAAAACCAAAACACAATTTTATACCGATGCGAGAACTGTAGAAATTTCAAAACCATTTTCTTATTTCTTCGCATATCACATATCACTAATTTTTAATGCTATTACGAAGAAAATCGAGCGAATGCGAAGTGAAAGTCAGTGATTGTGTTTCCTTAGAATACTAGCAGTTTTACGTTCGTTTCAACGATTCCATCGAGCTATTCCGAGAAATAGAGCCATTCTAAGAACGAGTCCCCTTATGAGATGAGATATATAAGGGTAATCTTTGCAGAAATGTATCGTTCTCTAATTTTGCATGAATTCTTTTAGATGCCCCTACCGTAAATGATCGAATCGCCCCTCCCCCTCATTTTAATCTCCATTCTTTTTTCCTTGTCAAAACTGCATCATCAGTCCAGAGGGACTGATTTTCAGGGGGCTAGGTATAGAATTCTTTCAAAACATAATCATATCATAAACTTATCACAATTTAATTTTAAAAAGACAAAGTAAAACCCAATTTCAAGAACAAGAAAAGCCTTAAATAAAATTTTGAACCGCCTTTTGATGTTTTGACAGAGGGTTGCATTTATTGTTACAGTGTTTTTTACAATTTTTCAAAATTGAAAAGGCGGTTTAAACGAGCTACTTGTATATTGATTTTAAGATAATTTTTATGAGCTCCTTCCGTTTCGGACCCGTTTTAGCTCCAAAATCCACATGGCCATGGGCTTGGTGGGTTAGGGGTTATTTCGAAATTTTGTGGAAATAATATTACAAAATCCCCAATTTCCCCATTTCTATATCCATTTTGTAAATTGATCTGTTCTAATCGTTTATTGCGTACTCTTCAATATGCGTTGGGCTGCGCTGTTTTATGTATTTTTTGGGCAGTTAAGTTGATAGGTAAAATTTTCATAAACATCTTTTAACATCATCGTCGCAAAATAATTAGCTTGAAAGTTTCCTTACCTGAGCTTGTATAGTTGTGCTATGCTTGAAAACTTTAGAACTTTATCAATAGTTAATATTGTAAAATAGAGTTGCTTATGTTATTTCTAAATTTAATGTATAAACATCATCTATGTTTTTGCCCTTCTTTTCTACATATTTTGGGTGCTTTGTCGCTGTGACAATGAGAAGTAGGGGGCTTGGTTAGATTGTTGTTGCATGAGAGGGGAGTCTCCTTTTTACTGGGGGCTGGAGCCTCCCCAATAATTGTCAAACTGTAGTATGTTTCCTTTATAACAGTGTACTGAACGAGAAGGAAAACAACGGGCAGCCCCCCCTCCCCAATATGAATTTCGTTCCGACGGCATTGATGTGCATGGGCGGAGGGAGTATTAGGCAAAGAGGATAAAGAACGGGTTCATCGGTTCAAGTGAACTTCGCAAGAGACTCTAGAGGGGGTGGGCAACAATGCCCAATCCCCATAAACCTTAATTTAACCCATATTAACTTGCCTACCTTCATTCTAGCGTAAATCGTAACTGCAGCACATTTACTCACAAGCACCCAAGCTGCTAGCAGGGATATTCACAGTTAGAGTGAACATTCAGATTTCTACGTAAAAGGCTTCAGCGCTTAGATTAACTGAAACTCAAAACCTAAACGAGTACAACACAGCAGCATGGTCTGAATGGAACTGGTCTATGGTTCGAAAAGTCTTGAACCATGAAGCAAGAGCGATTATTGAGTGAAAATAAAATCTGGCGTTGTCCGGAAAAAGTGAAAATTTGGTTTTGTTTTCAGAACTGAGAAACAAACGCAATGATGATTAGCTATAGAGCCTAGGGGCTAGAACTTACGTCATATTTTCTTGCATGAGATTTGGTCGGGTTAGATGGTCAATTGATAAAGGAAGGATTGGTTTTCTGCCGGCAATTTGCAAGAAAAGGAAAAGCTGCGATGATTTTTATTTTGATTTACAATGCTAAAATTTTTATGTTGCAAAGTTGCAAAGTTTCATCTTCAGTTTTACTTTGATTCGTCTCTGTATCATCCTGAAATTTTCCGTTGTTCTTGCGTACTCTCAATACTTGGATAAAGTGACAAAAAATTGTAGGAGTGATTCATTTTCGCATTTAATCCTCGTGACCAAATGAAGCTAAGGCTATCTAGCAGATTTTCGTGTTCGGGTTTCAAAAGAAACCTTAGGCTAACGTTATCTTACCTCTGAGCGTCATTTTCAAAGATCGGATTACTTCATACAGACTAAACATATCATTTTGTTCCACCTGATCTGACTTTTCATAAACATGACCTGCCTTGGACTTTCAGTTATCCGAATGTGCAACAAAAGGCGTACGACTACAAAGGGTGTTCGTCAAGGGGCATTAGAAGAATGTTGTGTCTAATATTGGGGTAGAATGCAACTCGTTTTGAGAATAGCACTTTCTTTAAAAGTAACATAGAGATAAAAAAGAAACTAGTTTTGTATCTATCAACTGTTGTTTTTACAGCAATCGTTATCAAAGCAAGATTGCAGAAAGTGGAAAAGATTTTTTTTGCAATCTGGAGGCCACAAAAGCCTGAAAAGTATAGGCAGGTTATTATTGGGGGAGGGGGGGGGGAGACTAAAGGCAATGTTTTCGAAATATCCTTACGAAATAGCAAAATATCAAAACATTTTCTTCCTTCGGCGTCTAAAACAGAGGTCTTCGTATCATTCAGAATTTCCCAATCGAGCTTAAAACATGGATTGGTGATGGTATCTTTTAATTCGTTAATTTTTTTTGGCAAAAAACTAGGGCTCTAACCCCGACCCCCCTTTTCCCTTATCAGCATGAATGCATGCAGTTGATGGAGATTGCGAAGTGTATCTTTGGATGTTTGATGTTAAATCCATATCTGTGTCGAAACTGCTATGGATACCAACAAATTACCCATTTTGAGTAAGTAACCCCTTTTTGATTGTCTCTACTTTATTTTACTTGTAAATTCCATCACAGCTTAAATGTACTTGCAGAGCAATTGGAAATCTGATAGTCAGAATAAATTTTGTTCAAAAACTAATGACATGGCTTTATGCAAAGGATCAAACAAATTCGTATACCTTTTCATGGCCGTTTACACTGAATCAAAATACGCGATGTAAATATTTCTTAAATCTTGTTATAGTCTTAAGTAAAATGTTTGCTGTTAATCTTTGTTCTCTTGGATTAGCCTAAGGTGTATTTACAAGAAAAATGTGATTGATAAATTCAGTTGCGTTGACGTTTTTGAAGTTAACGGAAGACATTAAAGCTATTAATCAAACAGTTTTTGCTATCAATGTATAGAAATTGACGAATGACAGAAAACACAGGTTACAAAATAATTGATGAATGTCTGTTCCTTTGAAAAGAATCTAATAGTATTGGATCCGCCCGTTTGGTTTTTGGATTGTGAAGCATTAATATAGGAAATGGATACAGTTTTTTCTATTTGAACTAATATTTTATGCGAAGAATCTTAAAAAGGATTTGGAGTGAATAAAAATCGTATAAATCTTTACATCCAGAGCCAACTCTCTGTTATGATGAGTCTTCATAGACAGGGCCAACGAGAGGGGCGATTGCCCCCAAGTCAAGAAATAATGATTTCGATTAATTTCATTTTAAGTATGGAATTAATCGAAGGTTACAAAGTATGCCTAAAAATAGTAAAACGTTTAAACGATTTGAAGAAATGATATAATAGATATTCAGATCTAAAGGCCGTGGTAACAAAAATTTCTACTCGTTTTGCTCACAGAGAGCCTCGCCTTTCATTTTTGCCCAAGGGGCCTCCGAAAGCTTTTGTCGACCCTGATGCTAAGTGCATGTGATAAAGGTCTTGATGAGGGGGCCTTTATACAAAGAATTCACAGAAATTATGCTATGCTACACGAATCTGCACCAAATTTATATTGTTAGAAATCCCAAGAAAAGACAAGAGCTTTGATTCTGTTCACAGGGCCCACGCCAATGGGAGCCTGGGTGGCCATGCCCCACCCCCACTTTTTTCGAAACAATTAGCTTTAAAGCTGCAATGAAAGGGGAAAGAAGCCTTGGCCCCTACTTTTTCTAGCCTTGGCCCCCCCTACTTTTGTTAACCTTCCCCCCACTTTTAAATTGGTGGCGTGGGCCTAGGCTCAAGTTCCCCTTCATATGGAACTCTATATCAATTGATGTTTAAGAAAGAACCTCACTGTATGTATCAAATGGTATGAAAGTCATTATGTATCAAATGGTATGTATGAAAGACATCTGATCTCCTAAAATGAGCACACTGAAACGAAGGAAACTACCTTTGCATACAACTACTCTAGCAGTTTGTTAACTTTTTTGTTGTATCAAAACCAACATATTCGTAAGTTAGTATCCATTTTATAATTTGATATTTGCTAGAAGATTGTTTGTTTTGTATAATTGAATCATTTGAAACTTTGTTGACAGCATTCTATTTCCGTGCTTTTTCATAAAGGGAAAGACGAAGTTTGTTTTAACGTTTTAGAGTCTATTTGCTTCCAACATTCTTAAGGGCAAATCTTGAAAGAATGCTTGATTGTTACCAATTTATGTATTAAAAGTCTAAAACAATTGCAATGATAAGGCCAATTCTCGAGTTCCTTTACAAAATGAAATTTCAGGCCCATGAAAATTCATGATAAGAAATGTTTTCTTTTGCCATTCGACTCTTGTAATATCTATGTGTTCTGTGGTGTATGCAAAGAGAAAGAAGGAGAAGTTCGATGAATCGGTGTTGATATCTGAACCGTGCAAACATAAACATCATAATGCTTCCTGATCGCAACCTGTAATCCATCTTCACATAAACAATTCTTCTTTATTTCCTTAACCAATTGAAAAACTACAGAGTGAATTTTGAAAAAAACTCATTCATTCTTCTTCGATGTTTAGACGGATTCACAATAAAAACACCGGCCGCTGTCTTCGGCCCTCAATCGCGAAATAGGCCATCGGCTCATGAGTTTGAAATGAAAGCATGGTTGCTACACTATCAGCAGCCATTTTTCATCTGAGAGTGTTTTTTGAAAGGCCAAAGTGTTATGTGAAGTAAGGTCTTGTGACCTGTCCTTAGTTGTGCCAAAGTTTTCCTAACTGCCCATACTTCTGTTTCTTTACAAAATCTATGTATAAAGATAGAAGGTAGTTATATATTGTACATGAACGCATATATCTGTGCTTGAAACATACTGGAAAAGCTTAAGTGGTAGCCAGGACTTGCTTACAAGTCTCTCTCTCTGTTTTTCGTTCGACTCTTCTTTTGGTCTGAATAGTTCGGGAAATGTGAAGTCTGTAAAAAAAGGAAGAAAGAAAAGCAAAAAGAGAGGGCTCTCCCATATCTTTTGTCTTTCTTTGTTTTTCAAAATTCGCGTTTTCTGGACTTTTCGGTCTAACATAAAATATTTCATTTTTTGTTGAACGGTTTGAGCATTTGAAGGATTTTTGTTTTTAGAATTTCACCTTTCGTTCTTTGTCTATAATAGCCAAATATTTTGTCCTGTTGAATAATTTGTCCGCTAGAGCTTTTTCATCTAACATTTTGTTCTTACTTCTCTTGCGACGTGACAAGGAGATTGGTATTGTAAAGAAACTGAAGGTTATTATTTCTGCTGCAACAGAGGAATTCGCGTAATGCCAGTGATTTTGAAGCATGTGCCTAACAAAATCGAAATGAAATTGGCCTCTGTGAAGGGTGGCTATGCTTGAAAAGTTGGGTATGCACCTTCATATAATAGGAGAAGGGGAATCTTTATTTACGCGATAAACCATATGTACTCATTCAAGGCCAAATGAGTTTTATTCATACAACTGGACGATTGCTGCAACAAATTGAGGGGGTACGCATCCTCAAGTAACATTTAAATAATAGGGATGCAAACCCATTATCGAGGGAAGCCTTAAATAGAATTGGGGGCGTGTTTGTCCTATACACGTGTTTACTCAAATAACTATGCTAAATCAACATTGATCTTGGACTGTTTTAAATATCAAACTGCATTCGGTTAGGTCTGTGCATAAATGCACTTAATCAAAATGTAAAATTTTACTTACTAAAAGCTTTTTCGTCTAACAATCCTCCGAGTATAAAGCATCAGAACAAGGGTCCGAAAGCACAATATATAAAATATATACCCATTTGCAGACCGAATAAAGCCAATTAGAAAATCGCGAGCACATGACCAGTATAGTTGACCAGTCAGTGCTGCGTCCCTATAAGAAAATCACGACAGGGATCCAAGAGAAAAAATGAATACTTTCAGGTATTACGGAACAGGTATAAACGGTATAACAGGTATAAAAGGAAAAGGTATTACGAATTGGCTGAGATGTGTCCAGATGAGCACAAGCTCTGGCCCCATCAAAGCTCTGGCCCCATCAAACCTCTGGCCTAATTATTTTTAGTTCATAACTTTCTGAACTGAGCCAAAATAACAGTTAGTAATCCTTTAGCAAACTCCAAATTATCTATTGGCCATAGTTCACCCTATTTTTGACAAATTTACTGATTTTTCACAAATGGGAATTTTTTTGGTGTTCTTCTACGTTATGTGGTCGAATTCGAAAATTCTAAAAATATTTTTTGTGACGTCACACTTGAGAATTCTATAGCAGCTTATTTCGTTGGTATGTAGATCGATTCCAAAACTGCTAGATAATATAAACCTATAACATTCCTGCCATCATCTTGTCGTGCAGTGCTCTCTCAAAACAAGCTACTTTGTATTCGCTATCTTCTCTCTGCCCGCTGTGTCTGTTTGCCTTTTTAACTTAAGAACTTTCCTCGTAATCTCGTTATACTTAATGCGATATTCGTATTTCAGTCTTCCCCATAGAAATGTTCTCGTGTGGTACCCTGTTCAAAATGTCAAGTCGCCTCATGTAAACTTTATGTTTTGTTTCCTTACTGTTTTTAACAAGTGCCAGAATAAGTCCTTTTTATTTTTATCTGCATGCAAATGACTAAAAACCACACGCTAACTATGCAGTCCAATTGTTAAAATAATTAAACTGTTCAATATCCTTTTAGGGCAACTTTCTATGCCACAAAGCATTTCTAAGATAAAATAAATACATTTCCTCTCGGAAAGTCTTAATAATAAAAAGCTTTCTTACAATTGTTTAATTTCCAGTGTCTAGTTTAGTGATATTCACAAGAGGAAGGCTAGGCTTGATCAATGTTCTGATAGTCACTTCTGCCAAGATACAATTCTTTTCGATGTTTATGTAACGACGTGAGTTGTAATCACGTATGAGAGAAAGAATGATGGGTAATATAATCTTTATCCTTAGGCCTACCGAACGGGACCGCCATTGCTGTGGAAGCAGACAGAAGAAGGTCTTTCTGCTCATCTTTGAAACTTTTCTCTGCCCATTGACGAAAATATGATCTTTTAGGCCATTTAGTCGCCCATTCCGCTATGATATTCAGAACTATAATATGATCGATATCTTGATGAGCAACAATTTATATGCTTATCAACTGAAGTCAGAGATTCATTTTCATTTTGCTTTGATTTACATTCGATAGGGTAAATTCATTCAGTTAATTGGAATAACTGTTTAACAATGTGCCTTGCTTAAAAACACAAGTAGCCTTTTATTACAAATTAACTTGAAAATCTAGTATATAAGAAGAGAAGAAAGTAAATGAAAATGAATGGACTTGGAAGTTAAACACATATACTGAATAGAATAACGACCTCTTTATCCTTCAAAAACGCTTTCAGTCTAGTTTTGAAGGCGGCTAGCAAAGAAGCAGTTTTTATTTCATGGCCTATCTGGTTCCAAACAGTAACAGCGGGATGACCGAGAATTCATCGATACGAGAAGCCCCGCTGCCAACTTGAGGTTTTACTCTGTACGTAAGGTCTGACTGCAAGAATGGGACAATTTGTGAAGCATTGACTGCATGTAGGAAGTTGTAGCCCATTCTAGACTTCAGATACTAGACACGCTGTCTCAAAGTTAATCTTCTTTTTTGACAGTTACCAATGACTGTTGTGATGTTTATGGCAACAATGTTTCATGGAAGGGACTGTTTGTAACGTTACGAGCTGCAAGATTTTTGACGCTTTGCAATTTTCTCAGAATTGTGTCACCAGCACATCCCCAAACAGAGCTAAAATGCGGATTACCTATACTGAAGTGCATTCTTTGAATGATTTGAAACAAAAGTTATCTCTTAGAGTACTTGCGCTTTTCCATTCCTCCTGAAATTTTACCGATAGCAAGATTTATTCTTTCAAATTTAATTATGGATCAATTTGAATCCCAATATATTTGATATTACCCGTGGATTCAATCTTCTCGTCATTTATTTGAAGGATGAGAAAATTTGTTGAATCATTGCAGTCTATTTTCCTGAGGTTAGACGGAGTACCAAGAATAATGCTTTATGTTTTTGCAACATGAAGTGGAAATTTATTTCCATGTAGCCACGAACTAAGATTTTGAAGCTCTAAGTTCATAGCATTGCATAGGTCAGTGATTTATTTCGAGGAATAGGAGATACTTGTGTCATCTGCATACATTGTTACCTTAGTTCTATGCAAGACAAATGGCAAGTCTTTAGTATAGATCAAAAATAAGAGTGAACCAAGGCTGAAACCCCGAGGTACTCCACATTCGATGCCCTGCGTTTCTGATATGTTGTCACTTGACTTAATGATATGTTGTCACCAGTCAACTCCATAGAAACGCAGCTTTCCACGTCTGGTATCTTCGAACTAAGCTTGTCACATATGTTACAGAGAAAGTCATTGAAAGAATCTGCGAGTTCACTGCCTTTTGACTGCCATGTTTCACAAACCGCTAAGGAAGAGATATTGGTCGTTTTGAAACGTTTACTAATAAGTTGATTAATGGTGTTCAAATGTTCTGTCATGTTACCCTGACAATTGGCAATTTTTTGTGATAAATGCACCTATAGAAACATGCCTAAAGCTGAATTCACACTGGACGCGTCACGGCGCGGCGCGTCATGACGCTGACCAAATATGGTTAGCTTTTTCGGCAGCTATGCGCACGCAGCGCGTTTTTTCAGCAACGCGTCACCGAGCGTCAAAGTTAAATAAATTTAACTTTGACGCTCGGTGACGCTTCAGAACAATAGAAAACCTAGAGAATAATGACAGCCAGAAACGTAAACAAGGAGCTTCTGAAATAGGCCATTATAAAACTGTATTGCTTGTACGGTGAAGTATATTTTGATGAGTCTCTTTGATTAAAGCATCGGGGGGCTAAAATCTTTGAAAGTAACAAAAACAAATCACATTTATTAGTTTGTGATAAGTAACAGTATTATTCGTGTTTTGTGTCTTTGTCTATAAAGTTGCCTCGTTAATGTTCAATTCAACAATGATGTTGAGTCATTGTATGTTCCGTTTTGGTAAAAAAATATTACTAGAAATAGCTCTTGCTAGTACTGCCCGCAAACAGTTAGTTCCTTGATAATGATTGTTTTGAAAATGTAGGTCAGGATATTCGAAGAAGACACCATCTTGGGTTTTCACAATTTTATAAAAACAGCTGCTCTAGTTGAAGCTAAACTATTCTTTTTATCAAGAATTTTTGGTTCTCAGTTTGCCTTTGATTTAAGTCCAATGCCCTTTTGAAAATCATGAAGTTTTTCGAGGGTTTGACATTTATTTTTCGATAATCACGACAATCATAACTTTTGCTCGTACGGTCTCGAGTTTTTGGGAGAAAAGTGTGGCATTCGACTGGTTTTGATTCCCAAAACTTCGAATCAAAACTTCCATCCATTGCGGAGAACCGAGCTGTGATGCAGCACCGTTTTCGTGTCAAAAAAACCGAAGGCCTTTAACAGAGTCTTGGCAGAGCAACGCTCCGAAGATAATTCCCTTCCGCACAAAGAGGTGGCGGTTAACGACCTCGACAAAGCCGATTGATTGACAATGAAATTGATTGACAGTTGTCATGGCAGCAGAAAAGTGACAAAATCTGCTGAAAAAGTGCTGACAACATGAACTGAAGCTTCCATATGCTACTTATACGCGGGGCAGACTATAAGCCCTTCACTCGCGCGCTATCGCGCGCGAGTTGCGGGCAACAATCACTCCCCGTTAAGCTTTCAATATCTTCCAAAGGTGTACTTCCGAGGGATTTAATTCATGAAAATTTTCGGGAGTGTTGATAAAAATAAGCTGTTTAATTTTCCCTCGAATTTTGGCAGGAAGGGAAACCCCATGAATCTGTAAAGCCAAACATTTTGCTAATTGTAGTAGACCTTCCAAATCTTTAATATCAATAAAAATTTCAGTTCACTAATGAATGCTTGAAGAGAATCGTGTTCCGGTCAAAACATTGGCCAACCTCTTGGACCGGAATGTTGAAGAAACCGCATGAGACTAATTGAAGTACATAGAGTACCTAATTTTTTGGCCAATATGCTGTTTTTGATATATTAGCTTCATATTACCGTTTTATCCGTTTCTGTAGCAAACTTAAATGTCCAGCTTGACTTTCCAATGCAAGGAATACAGTACAACCTGTCAAGAATTTTGCAAGTTTGCTGTGAACAGCATTGGAAAACAGAAAACACGCCGCTCCATGACGCATCGTGTGTGAATAGCATGAAAAAGTACATGACGCGACGCTCGATGACGCTCAGTGACGCGCCGCGCCGTGACGCGTCCAGTGTGAATTCAGCTTAAAGCAGGCATTGCGCAGCCATTGTGCTAGCAGGACTAAAGCCCCCCCCCCCAACTTTTTTGCAATCATAGGTTAGAAAAATTTCCTATGTAATAGCAGTTCTTTTTGACTGGGAAACTTTATTTCTTCACTTTCTAAGTGTTTTTTTCTTAATGATATGTTGTGTTTTCCAACTTTGTTAATTCTTCTCCCAATTGGAAATTTATAAATGATATGTGGAAATAAGCAGGCATTTTCTAAAAGGGGCATTTTCCGGCGTTCTTAAGGGCATGGCCTGAAAAATTTTTGGTCTCAACCTCCCCCCCCCCCCCCCCACTTGTATACTGATGCACAGAGTGATCAAGGAAACAACAGTTTTATGAACATTTTAACTCTAGGCACAAGGGTTACCGCCTCTCATCTTTCTTGCTCTCTACATTGTGCGGGACCTAGATGTATACCAGTGAGAGAGACATGTCTTCGAATAAGATTATAATATATGTATGTGATTCTGTATTCTCAAGTGCGAGAACCTCTCCCCCTGCCTCGTGCTCACAACTCTAATCAATGCTCTCGATTAGTGTTGAATGTGAAGAGATTGCGGAAATGCAAAATATGGTGAGAGCTTCTTGCCATGTGTCCCGGAGCCCTGGACCCAAATTGAAGTTTTCTCTATCCTTCACAATACTTTGTAATGATTATGGTGTGGTTGCAGTTGTGTTCAGTTGAGCTTCGTCTCTAAACTCCCTACAAAATAAAGGCCAATTTGAGCATCTAACATTTTAATTTACCCAAAGAAAATAAAGGGTTATCTAGTGGGGGAGATGAACGAGTGAGAACCTTCAAATGCGGGAGGCAACCCTCTGTCCTGTCGTCAAAGTGCACGTGCAGTAATAATTTCGTCCATGCGCATTCTCTTCGACGCCAGGAAGGAGGATTGCCCCACTCACCAAAAGACTTGCCCCTGTTCGTCTCTCAAACAAACTCACCGCAAATCTTCAGGACATTCCGTCTTAATGTTGTTTTCCTTCACACCATTCCTCTGCTTACATATGCAACTTGTTTAACAGTAAAATTATTTTCCTTTACCAACTCTGCCTCTCTGAGATAGAGGTCATTTGACAAATTTTCTTCGCCCTTTATTTGTTATCATGTTACCATGCTTTAATCGAATGCAAGATAATTCTTTTGAAAACAATTTTAGATTTGGTTAACTTATCTCTCTGCCACCGCTTTGGGTTCGTAAGCTTCTTTTCAAATAAAAAAATTGTCCATTCTTGGAGAAGAAGCTTGGTTTAGATAAGAATTAAATCAAGTGTGAATTATTAGGTCAGCAAATCTTTTCTTCCGGTTTGGGCTTCGGATGTCGGCACCAATCAGTTCTACTAAAGCATAACTAATTTTTCTTACTCAAAAGTAGTATTTTATCAGATATTATCAACCTGTGTTATTATGGAGTCTAAAAAGCGCATAAAGTTTGCCTTGGGACACGAATCAGTTTTTCTGAATATCTTCATCGTTTTTGCTTCTACTATTTTCGAAAAAGCAAATCCGCCCAATCAGTTCATTCAGCTGCTCCCTTGCTTATCTAGGTTTCCATTCATTCCTTCATCTCTGGTCTAAGTTTTCCTCTCTGTTGATTCTTTCAGCGATGACCTAGTGATTATCAATCTCTCTCTAAGCGAATCTTAAATTGAAACTAAGGCACGATATTTCCTGGGATATGAGCAGTACTTTTTTGGAGATAATTTAGATATAAGCCCATTGAAGGCAACCTAAGGCGATCGAAATGCTTGAAACCAACATCCATTTTGCCTGTTGTCTAGATCGAGGTGTGCCAAAGCCTTCAAATAATGCTGGTAATAAAGTGCTAAAAGACACTAAGAGGTTTGGTTTTGTCCTCCAAATTTAGTGGTTTGTCAGTGTCTTTGGTAGCATTTTGTCGCCGTTTACAAGAATCCTATTATTACCAACAGTGGGTTTTAAGAATAGTTTTCCAACAAGTTTATCTCGAACCTAATGCCTACAGGCCATTATTGTCGTTGAGCTTGGATTTCAACTTTCAAAATAAACTTTTATGATAAACAAATTTGTTGAATGGTAACATAAATCAATAAGAAAATCATGTTCACTTGCTCGGAAGGATTTGCTAGGCGGAGCTGCCGTTAGCTTCTTAGCCTTGACTTTGTCACCTGAAGAAACATTATACACACAAGACAGTGCTTGCCATTATTCGATTTAAAAGGGTTCTTTTTCACAGGTTTAAGTCACGTGCTAGCTGCGTCGAAAGAGATTGGTGTATTGTGTGTATGGTTTTTGTCTTCATTCACCACATTAAGTACGATATCTTTACCGTGCTAAGAGACAAAAAGTCAAGCCTGTTTGATATTGTTGCCGGTGATAAAAAACTTTCACTATGTCACACTAGTGCGTTTTGTCGTCAGTGATAAATTGGCCGTCATGCTTTGAAACCCATCTAGTCAATATGTCCTGGACGTTAACTTAGCGTGACATTAATGTTTGCTTTAGTGCCTACAGAACATATAGAAACAGGCCATAATTTGAAGTTCTGGAAATATTCTTAAGACGGAGTTTTGGTAACCCGAAAAGTGTTGTGTTTCCCACTACATCAAATTTCTATCATGGTTTTCACCCGGTACACCCACATACCCCCTATTTGTTTGGTGTATGACTTGATTCGATCTTGAGATGGGTGCTTGTCAAGTAAGGGTTGAAGTAGTCTTTAAAATAATTTCTTTTGGAATACTTTAACAAACCTGACTCATATCAAGCCAATGCTTACGTCATCGAAAGCTTAAAGAGACCCTCTGGGTATCTCTTATAATAACCTGTCTCTTCGCAACAGCGCATGCCCACACATCGAGTATAAGAGAACTAATGAAGGGGATTTTCCTAAAGGGATTCAACTATATCCTTTATTTGATTATTGCTAGTAGTCATTTGCAGCCGGTTCATAAGTCATTGTTCGTAGTAATAACATTCTTTCATTAGAACTCTAGATCCCCGTTGTGGTTATCTGCCCTGCCAGGCTGTGAGACTCACAATCCACTTTTTGGTGTTCACATGTGTTCGCATCTTAGGCCCTCTTAACAGACCACAAACCAGAAACCTTTGGTTCGGCTTATTTAAAGAACAGTGTTATCGATTTTGATGCAGGTCTTATAATCAATCTAATGATTCAACGAGACACAACTTCAAGCTCAGCTTTATATTAAATTCCATTTTATGACATATGACTTTTACTCAGCGGGTATAGAAGCACTAGATTCTCATCGATTTTGAATGCTTCTCTAGAGAAAATATGATGTGGACAGAGTTCGAGGAACCGAGGTTTCTGACGTTAATGGAAAATTTGAAAGCGTTCATTCTCGTAGCATAAAAGTCAATGCTTTGTTTATATTTGAAACTGTTGATGTTGACCACCCAGCTTAGTTCATTACTATGGATAATAAAAATCATTAATGCTGACTGACGTCACTCAGACAACAGCTAACGTCTTTTGTCTTCCCGCCATGCAACTGACACTGATCCAATATGGATCGCTATTTCAAAGCCTCTAGACTTCAAAACATGGTATCTACGTTTCCAGCTGAATAAACCTTTATTCTACAAAGAACACATCGAATTTTAAAAAGTTTGCTTTTGAAATATCACGCTTCTAAATGAAAAATGACAAACGCTTCACCCCCAACCCTACAATGTCATTTGTCTTTTACTTTTATATCTGTGTATTAAACTTAAGGCCACAAAGAGATCTATATTCCTCAAAGTTTCCTATTTCTCAATTTTATACTTCATGCTGTTTTCAATAAAGACAATTTCTGGTTTCAATCTGCTGCTTTGAGAGAAGAATTTCTTTTCTTTATTATAGTAATTCTAGATAGCAGAAAACTCAAGTTTATACCTTACATGATAAATGAGCTGCTTGCGCTCTACAATGTTAAGGCCGATTTCCATTTGACATTTTTTGTGCGCACGGTCGTAGCGCCCAAATCTGAGCATGCGTAGCTAAGTGCTGCTGTCAAGTGGCCGAGCGCACAAAAAAGTTGAGACCCTATCAACTTTCTGGCGCTCACAGCGGACGGAAAATCGAGACCACTTGATGTTAATTACGCATGCTCAGACTTGGGCGCTACGCCCGCACGCATAAAAAATGTCGAATGGAAATCGGCCTTTGGGTTGCAACTTTTAGAATAATATTTGTGCGTCGCCTGGGAAGTTTTGCCAAATTTCCTTTTTGTACGGGTGAATAAGAGCTTTTTGACTTCCATGAAGCCTCCCCCTTTCTAAAAGTCAATTTTAAACAAAAGATGTAGACTTTTTTAAACAACTTAGCCTTTCTTCCATTTTTGAAGCTCTAGAAAGAGCTTATTACTGGGACTTGTTTTAAAAGTATGAATTAGTTTTCGTAGCTTGTTGCTTTCTTACCTGTTTTATGCTTACGAAGCTTCTGAAAAATGTTTTAAAAGAAATCAAGGTTAAGTTTTTTTAATCTTTTGCAGCTGCACACTGCCCCAAATATTTGCTAAATAGATTTCTATTATAGTTTCAACAGTGTACTGAGCAGGAGGCGACTGAATCGGCAGCCTCCATGTCCTCCTCCCATTAATAACAAAACTGAATTTGAGTATGACGTAATCTTGAGTAGCTGTAGCCTGTGAATTGATTCTTGAGTTGGTTTAGTTTGATCTTTAAAGTACGTTCTGTTCTCAGACCTTCGCCAAACCTCTCTTGGCCGATTTTAGACTACGATGCCGGCTCAGGATTTGATTTGGCAACCTCAGAAATCTTAGCAGATATCCACTTAAGACAAGTCTAAGCCTTGGCAAATGAAAACGTTTTGTATCAGATTTTGACTAATGTAATAGCGCTTCATGTCACTTGGTACTTCGGCGGTAATAAGGCTGTCGCAATTTGCCACTAAGCAATGTTTCACCTCCCTTCTTGCATCAAGAAGGTGTTTTAGTGGAAGGTAACGACTGATACCAGGGCTCAAGCTGATATTGTTGTTTAGAGGGAGGGGCTATGTACCCTCAAAACTTCTTGGATTCTATTGTTTCTGTTCACTATCTATATGCTGGCTGATTTTCTTTTCTTTTTAGAACAATGGTACTCCCCCCATAAAAAACGTTGCTTCCTCCCTAAGGCCCCTCTGACAGGTCGAGAGCTGAGGATCCGCTTCGATGGTGAATCCTTCTACATTCGATGGGGTATCCAGATCCAATAATAAACATCCAGAGACACAAAGTTGAAAGATAATCATATCTTTGAGAACTCCCACGTTCTGGATTCTATGGAACGTCAACCACGAAACAGACGCTTGAAGCTCGGTCATTCCGCAGACGATGCCTTTTATCCCCTTCTCAGTCTGCGGAGAATTCGTCTAAATGTAGGTGGCAGTGGGCAGTGGCACTTGTAGCATTTTCTCGCAATTTGAGCCAGTGAAGACTCTCTGTTACAAACGGGTAAACGTCACTCTTTTAGCAAAAGTTTTGAGGTGCTGCGAGGCGGCAGAGGGTTCTTCAACGATCTTTCTTTGCAACAAATCTTTATGAAGTTTGATCAAGTGGTGAACGCAATGTGCTATAGAATTTGTTCAACGTTGAAGCGATTTGTCTCCTTGAAGCGAAACCTAGAATTTCTACCGGGTACTGTAGAATTTGGAAAAAGGGAGTTTCATGGGACGAATGAACAAACGACAAAATATCAATTTGTCCTTTTGAGGAGTTCATATTTGTTTGTATGCTGAAGATGTAATCCCTGCTGACAAATTTTAATGTCAGTCATATTTTGACAAAAAGTGAAAAGCTACAAAAATTACATTTTTTCGCAAGATATTAAATGAAAATTATCAAACGTAACTTTTAACTTGTCAATATGCTGGGATTTTAGCCTTCAGTGGGCGAAACACAGGCGGCTGTTTGCCGCTCAGAAAGGCAGTCTTTGCTTTACCCACACATTGTGGATCAGAAGGATCTACCAGGAATTTATCCATTTGATCAGGATCTCCTTAGATCGTAGATGTTGGTTGATTACTGAGTATTTTTTTGTTTCGGTCTAGCAATCAATTTCTTACTACGATAAAGTATTGCTAAATCCTAATGTCAACCGTCATTTTCTGCGGCAAAAGGATTGGATGTCTTCAATTAATTGTCGATGAAGCTCTTTCTCATTGAAAAATCGTCAGCATAATCATGCATAAGTTCGGTGTAATAGGAGATAGGCCTAAGTCTCTGATCAAAGGCATCGGAGAAAATCTAAAGACAAACATGAAAAGCACGAGATATGTATTAATTGGTGATTTTAGAGGGTTAAAAGATGAAGTACTAAGAACCTTCGCTCTGCGGAGGAGAAATTTCTATTTTTCTACCTAGCGTCTAACGTAAAAGGTAAGGCAAGTAAAACAAAATAATGTTAGCAGGCGTACTTAGGGCAAACATTTGAAAATAGTGGTTAAATTAGTCCAAATTAATCACGTGACCTGTATCAGTAGCTTGTTCTCAATGAGAATTAACTTCGCAATTTTTGTTTAATGTAGCGATGTAAGGAACTCTTTTGACTGTTCATTTTAGAAATATCCACACAGACAAGCCAACGAGGCAGTGACGATTCAGTTAGCTTGGCTATTTTCACGGCCTTTTCGGTAAGTTGTCAAATTACAATTTGAAAGATGCATAAGAGAAAGCTCTAAGATATGAAAATATGTTCGTAGATACAAAATTTGGAGGTATGATTTTGAAGGAGTTATTTGTAACCATAATCAATTAACTAAAATCAAACAATGTGAGGATAACCATCTTTTATTCTATATGATATTTAGCATTTTTGATTCACAAGAGTAATGTTTATTCAAATAATAAGCTTGGAAGTATCGCTAACCCAAAGTGTCAAGGGTGAGAGGCTGGCGGTGTAAATGAAAATGAGGCTATCAGCATTGCGCGAGCTATCAATAGTTGCCACTCAGAATGGCATATCAATAATCAATAGTTGCCATGGGTTCTTTCAAACCGACCGGGATTTAACCAAGTTCCTAAAGTATGCATACGTTACTTGGCGGGGGGATGGAGCTAGCAGAAGAGCAGGTACAAGACAGACTCTAAAGAAGAAATTACATTCATGTTAGAGATCTCGTATGAGGTGGATGGCAAAGAAAATGAAAAAGATATAGTAAGATAAGAAAAAGATCTATGGAGGGAAAGGATAAATTATAAGAAACACAAGAGACGGATGAAAGAGATAACTTGCAAATTATCACGTAAATTCATTATTCGTTATTCAGTTTATATTGAATAAATTGTGTAGAACTTATCTTTGTCTCTTTCTATAAAGGCCACGTTATAATCCTATTCAATGGCAAATTTGAAACTTGTTGAAAGGTGCAAGTGAGGCTAAACGGAGAGAGAATGTTGCATTCACTGTAATCCAATAGGAGGCTGCTAATTATTCAAGCCTTACGAATAAAAGAGAAAGCTTGTCTTTTGTTTTATTTTCAATTTTAATGGACGACGCCTTCAATGCTGTACAACTTCTGCAAATTGTGACGTTTTCTCACTGCTGCTGTCTAAAATCATTTCTTTCACAAGAGGTCATCTCTTCCTCATTTTTTGGTAGTTTACTTGCCACGTCGTCAGCTAGACTTTTTAAAACTAAAGGTAGAAAAGGAACAAAATCTTCTTTGTTGTCGGTTATCACACCACTCCCCCCTCTAGTTCAAGGTTCGCTATTGCTCTTATCCCATGGGCTACTGTGTCTCTTGAATCTTTGAATGAGAACCTTTGAGCTAATAATGTCATTTCGTATTGATTTAATTGGCAATAACATCACATTGTGCTAAACCACTTCAACTGAATGTTTAAACTGAATAATGGTTTCCTCTTGTATAATAAACCAAATGAAAGTTCAAGGTTGTGTAAAACCAAATCTACCTGGAATGTTGATAAGGTTAGATGAACAATACATGAATTTTTTATTGAAAACTGATCCAAATCCAATACTTTTTCTCCAAAGCCACACTGATTTCCTTGAACTTTTCCTTTCAAAAATTCAAAGGAATTGAAATTCAGTAGCTATTTTCAGACTCAGGAACAACCTTCGACCGAACAACCTATTGATTACTCAGAAGGTTTCTTGAAAAGAAAGAAGATAATATGTGTTGCCCAAAGCACATCCATTTCTTGATTAGTAAAGTTCAGGTTCTTAAAAGACTAGCTGTTCCTGAGGCTGTTTTGTATTTTTTGGGAAACTCTAAGTCTGGGCGTTGCATTGTTTGAAATTTTACCTCATATTCGTGATTAAAGCTGAATTTCATTCGCTAGATGAAACATGAGTTTGATAAACAAAAGTTCACTTTCTTCTTATATTGTTTCTTTTTCTGTACCAATAATCGAAGTTTACATCGCAGGAAGCAATGCTGTTCTAACGCTAAGATATCAACCATGTTTTTGAAAAAATGTGCAGAAACAGCTCATCAAAGAAAAGGAGAGAGCGAAGTGATACACTCTTTAAGAGGCACTTTAAGTCTAACTTGCCTGCAAATCACCCCTTTTCTATTCTGCTTACGGCTATTTCTTGTGCTTTATTCACAACCTTCATGTAATCTTAAGAAAATTCTAGTCACTTGATCCATTGAATTAATTATGCCACTCTTCATTGCACAGTAATAATTTATTATCAATTTGAATAAAGGATATAACATGAAGGATGAGGCTTTAAAGACCAAAAAGAGCATTTTGGTTTTTGAATAAGCAAAGAGGCTCTTCCTACTCGGCTTTCTTGATTATGGTGTTTAGCACATTAATTTGTCTATATGGAATTATGTACTTAGAAAAGATAGGTGAAGAGACATCACCATTAATGACATCTACTGTTTTTCATGTTCAATTGAACTATTAATATATGTTTGAAGATATTATTTCGATGGGCTACTCTTCATTTGAAACGTATTAAAGAATTTGAGGATCTCAATGCAAGTATCATTGAAATCTGATCAGCTTGTTTTCTAATCCATGCTGAAATCTCTGGAAAAATTCTTACTGATGGTTTTACGATCATGAAATAAATTAATCTACTAAGTAAATGTATTTAAATGATTTCTTATACTTCAATTGAAAAAAAATTGATCAAAGTATCGTTAGAGACTAAAATCCAATTATTTTTCTTGAAACTTAAGATATACTGCAAAACTAGTCCTACAAATATGCCTCGGGCATATTAAATTTCCTGTCTGACCTCAAACTCTGTCCGATGTCTCTCCGTGAGACATAAGAATGATAACAATAATTAGGATTGTTGTTGGCCTAAGCCAAGCATTCGTTAGCCAAAATTACTTGTGTTTGATCACAGAGGAGAAGGGGTGGGGGGGGTGGGGAGAGGGAAGCGAATGTTTTGGGTAGGGGTCTGCCCCGAGAAAATGCAATAGAGTAATGTTGGCTAGAGTAATTTTTACGGAAACGGTACCCTTAGCTAGAATAATTTCTACACAATTTGCTTCATATTCTAGTTTATTATCGACAATTTTATTATTATTGTTTGTCAGGACTAAATCCTACTCTCCAAGGCTAGGTTAAGAATCCAATATTATCAAAATTATCAAAGCACCAATGTTGTCAAATATGATACCTTTTGCTAGACCTTGGCTCGACTAAAATTTCAAAGAAGTATATCCTGGCCAGACTAGATGTCCGAAATCGAATACTCTAGCTCGCGGCACATCCTCAAGTACCTTTACTATAGAAGAGAAACACCCCTTCGATGTTTGATGCGATGACAGAACATACAAGCATCTTTCAAAGGATTTTAGATTCCCGTTATACATTTGACCAAGTTTCAAGCTTAGTGCTTGTTTTAGATCCATGGCTGCATCTTTATAAACTCCTTGCTTTCATACGTAGCTTGAAACGATCGACGAAAACCTCAAGTTCATATGCATGAATGCGTAAGTTAGCCTTGAATACTTGCCCATATGAGTACTCGAGAGACGTTTTCCAGCCACATTCAGTTTTTAATGAGAAATCCGATTTTGACAAAATCTGATCTAATCAATGATTTTCTATTTTTGAAAACCGAATTAGTTTTGACGGGTTCCGAACGAGAAATGTGTCTCTGAAGAAAAGATATCTGTTCTGTGAATATTTACAGAAGCTCCTTTCCATATACATTTTCAACCTGTCAATACCCAGCATATACTGTCTGCTTTTGCATTTCAAAGCCTTTTGCTGCTTCGTAATAGCTCTTTTGCTACTTAAATCCATATTTACCTTTGAAGACTTCATCGATACGTACAATTGTAAGGTATTTCTATGGATTAGTGTCAAAGGAACATCGGAGCTGTTCCGAGCAATGAAAGGCATGAGGCCATAAAACTCACATGTTCGAATTATGCTCCATGAAGACGACCTTACCCTTTAACAGGTATAATCATTATTATGATGATGACTGTGATAGAGAACTGGCGGACAAGGAGCTGGCCAAACTAACTAGTGGGTGTCGTTTAGGTAGAGGCTATTAATGCGTTTAAATAGCACAAAGAAAAACTTCATCTCTCAATACGAGGGTTGATTTGCAGAGCTTATGAAACTGAATACCAGACAGGATTTATTAGCAAATCATTACTTGCGAGCTTACTGTTATGGAGTTAGCGAGATCTAGCTCAGCGTGCTTTGATTAATCAACAAAGAGTCTTATGCTGAAATGAGTACCGCCATATTTAGCCTTTTTGTTTATATGTCAATTGGCTATCAAAATCTTTTAAAACCTACGGTTAGTGTCTAGTAGCAGTTTAACTTAGGACTTTTGATCGATATAACAGTTAAGTAGATATGCACATGGTCAGTTGCCATACAGATGCTTTACTTGTTCTGCAACTGATGTGACGTCATCTGGAGATACCTTACTGTTTCAGTATGGCTTGCGGATCCTCATGCAAGTATCTGCACACAGACAATCAGTCTTCAGAATGTTGTTACTGTGGGGTGGGATACTAAATACAAAAAGTGTATTGTGCTATGTAAGTCATGAATTCATCTCTTGGAAAACGATCATGTCACCGTGTTTATGTTACTATAGATAACAGCATGACATTTTCGTATTTAGAAGCGATATGATCTTGCCTGTGTATCCCAACTGGAAATGTGCAATGGTTTACATGTGCAATGAACTTAATTAATATATTATCAATTAATATTTCATTGCATAGCTATAGAAGCAATGATCTATCAGCGAATCCAGTATTGTAAGAAAACCTTATCAAATATGAAGTAAGCTATCAGCAGCTAAAAACCATTACGCTATGTGTTTATTGTATTCTGATGTATTCACATCTATTACAATTTGATATTAGTCTCGATGATTGTCAACTCAATAAACTTTAAAGCTGCTCCAGATTAAGTTGAAAACCATGGATCAGTGGCTATTAGTTTACAGGATGATGTCTGTCGAAGCTGTACAAATGTGTAATTGATATCCGCTATGTATTCGCAGAAGTGACCTACTGTAAGCCACTTTATCAACTTTAAAGGGTTTCTCTATCCTCCTGTATAAGCCTCAGTCTTTTCTCTTCCTGCCACATATGTTACCTCGATTTTGCCGCAATACGTTTATATGATAATCTTTGAGGCTCTTATGCAAAAATTATTACTGGTTAAGGATGGCTATTAAAAAATGACGATCTTTATTCTTTGTTCCTTTAGAGCGTCCAAGTTGAAATGCCTTTTACGTTCTGCGACCTTGAATGCGTAGGGCCTGGACCCTAGCAAAAAGGCGCGAAAATTTGTACACGCCATCAGAGGAAATATGAAATCGAGAAAGGAAGCGCAGGAAACTTTCATTTGGAGGTATGAAAAGGTTTCTTAAAAGATACTACGGTGTAATCTTCATGTTTCGTATCATCCAAACCAGTTTAATGATCATGAATCTACTAATATGTTTTCATCACAATGTTTTATCAAATTTGACAATGTTTCAGCTACATTTGTTTATTGACTTTTTTTTATAAGTTCTAGTTGCTTAAAAATTAAGATTTATTTTGTAACATAACACATCATACTATCATTAGACTCCTCAGAAGGCCATCATTTACATTGCCTGATTACAGAAAACTTTGGTTAAAGCTTTATACACACCGAATGAAGTGAATGGCGAACATAAAAGTAGAGCCGCATTCTCCGCTGTTGCCGTCTCAGGAAAACTTTCCTGGAAACTCATCTGGGTCCAACCAGTGTCCCTCGCCGGCCAGCTCAGAATTGCAAACTATCATGGTAGCATGGGTGAAAAAGAAGCTAATTTCAAAGATAAAACAGTTTTGTGATCGTTTTCAAGCTGGATTTACGGTAAGAGCAATAGTATGAATGATTTCATTACATTTAAAAAGTTCTTTTTTATCACTAGTATGCCTAACGTATTTTACTTTAAATAAGCCTACCGATTGGCGAATCACAGAAAATTGTAGACTTTGCTGAAAAATCTGCAAAAGTCCTTAAAAATTTTTCAAGAAAAATCTTCAAAAGGAGCAAAGCTAACTGGAGAGATCTTTTTCAAAATCTCAAAAATTCTTTCAAATCTAAAACAATTTTAAAAATTTCATAGACAGTCATCTAGGAAACCTACATAAACATTTGGAAATTCTATAAGGTCTCGTATACTACTATTTGCTTAAGAATTCGCCCCTGACAAAAGACCAAAAAACCAGAAAATTTTTGAAATAATCAACATGCGCAGCTGTAATAACCCTAATTTCAAGTTACATTATCAAATTATATTGCATGACATGCAAGCTAGTATACTTAAAATTTGTTTCAGGCAGAGTTTCTTATTCTTATTCAATCTATTATATATTTGTATGCACTTATTATCAAATTATATTGCACGACATGCAAGCTAGTATACTTAAAATTTGTTTCAGGCAGAGTTTCTTATTCTTATTCAATCTATTACATATTTTTATGCACTTTTTACAAGATAATGTTACCAAAAGGAGGAATAGACTTTTCTGGAACAAACATGGTTTATTATCATTGTCCAGAAAAATGGTTTAGATGTGCAAAAAACTGAAGAATGTGTAATATTAAACAACAGAATGGCAATATATAGCTAATATCTTCTGATGAAAAATTCTCTTACAGTTATAAAAGTAACTTTACCGTGTTCCAGGAAGGCATTTTCTACGATTTTGACATGGAAATTGATGTTGCCGAGCTACTTGAATCTAACGGTAATTCAAAAGTACGATTTTGAAGTGATCTTAGTTTTTGATGTGTAAGTCTTGTCTAATTTTGCCAGAAGTCAAATATGTTAACGATAATTTAAAGAATGGATACAAGAAGAACTAGGACATGCTTAAATTAAAGTTGTTAGGTAAATGATAAAATTATTTCTCTATTTGTAACGCAGACATTTGTAACATAGTAATTGCCAATATCTCAAAGATACTATTTATCGTTGTCATCCTCAACAATCCATTTGTGCTGATTGGGTAAAGTATGTAGACGCTTGACATATTCAAGCTTACAAAAACCTCATATGTGGGCAGGGTACCCCAAAAGCGTTTCTAGCTGTTCATAAAGGTGTTCGTGAAAATTTGGCTGACAAAGTTCACTTTGACAGCTAGAGTAGGACCCTCATAACTGGCATCTCCCCCCACAGCAGGCACCTTCCACTGACAAGAGAGTTTTATATATATATATGTATTAAACAATTCTAAAACATCTTCACAGTCGGTATAAATGTCAATGTTTGGTGAAAGAAGTATTCATAATAAGATAAATTCTATTGAACTCAACAAATGCAATCGAAAAAGACATTGTAATTAGTGATAGAGATCACCGAATTATGTTCTACGCTGAATTCACTTTGTCTTTTATTGTCTTTTATTCTTTTATTAGTTATTCAACAGTCATTTATTGTTATTTTTATTCAATATATTCCACTGACACTGTACGCCAAACATTATACACCCTTTTCAAAGAAGACCATTATTGCTAAAACTGTTTCGCGTCACATAAGCAGCCAACAATTTTTTTAAAAAACTATAGCAAATGGAAATGAAATGAATCTGATGAAACTTATTTTCTTTCGTTTTGGCAGTGGAACTCGGAAATTTTCTTATCAAAGACACAAAAAATTTCATTTTTCAACTAAGATGGGTAAGTGCTACTGCAGATTTTCTTTTTAAATTAATTTTAATGACATAAGTTGTACAGAAGATTTCCATAAATTTTGAGAAAGGTGCTAACCACTGTCTTAAGAACTATGCTTTAATGATTTATCATTTTCTTCATAAAAAACAAAATTACAGGAAACATTAAAATGCAGTGATATTTGCCAATACTTACTTAGCTTAATAACGGGGTCCATTTGTGACTATTGGGCTGAATGATTAGAAAATTACGTTTAACATATGCATCACTTTATACGCTGCATTTTATTTGATGCTAGGTGATTTTCAAAATGATATCAGATAAAAGATGGTTGAATATCGAGGCTGCAAGTCAGATATTGATAAATCCAAAATTCATTAATCTGCCAACACTTTCAGAGTAAGTGGTGTTATGAATTTTTTTTAAATTGAACGTTTTTTGCAGAATATTCGCTGAGATCTTGTTATTTTGTTGTTAATATGCTTGCAGCCAGTATGTGAGGTGATGTCAATGTTTTAAGTACTTTTTCTTACTTTAAAGCGTCTTCCTGAGACTAGAAGTAATCACTGGCTTAAAGCAAAAAGGAGAGGAACAAAATTTAGGGTCTGATCGTCTTTATCACGTGGCTTCTATGGAGCTACTCATTTTGAATTCTAAGTTATTATCCCTCTTGTCCTTTCGAGGCTAAACTTTGTATTCCACTAAGTTGCTATTGGGTGCATACATAGTGATTTTCACTGGGGGGCTAGACTATCTCAATCTACACCTTAGGTTGATAATGTGATTCTAAGTTAGTAAATTCGAATGTTTTTAGATGCATGCCAACAGGACGATTGCCTTGCATCGAAGGTTTGATGAAGATAGCAGGGACTGTTGTTGGTTTCACGCCTATTCATGAATATACGTAAGAAATCATAAATATGTCATAAAAGTATCAAATTTATAAGACGTAAAGATTTTTTTTACATTTTTTGTAACTACGGTGGCATCATTTGCAAAAAACTTTTATACGAAATCGTACTAAGACAAAGAAAAGTTTTACGTGGAAAGCATTTTTTAGAGCTTTCACACTCTTTCGCCGAGGATTTTGTGTTACATAATTACCTTAACACGAATGAAACCAATACTATCAACTTTTTCTCGATAACTCAATATACTTTTGCATCTGCGTATAGTGAGTTTTTTCTATAGAATTTACCTTACCAGGAAATTTATACAATGGAAATTCAAAGATCTATATAAGGCAGATTATACATTGCCAAACAATTTCTTTGTAAGCATTAACTTTTTAACAATCGCTCATCATTTTCATGGCATTTTTCATTTTGTGTTTTTCTTACAGAAAAGGAACCAAATATAACTGCACTCAAGAAGAGCTATGTATGTCAAATGCCTGTGACAACATATTTTCATGGCTTCCAGGGATTTTTGAATACGACATCGTAAGGTAGGTTTTTTATACAGTCGTTTAATACATGAACGATTTGATTTTAGCAGAAGTATGAAAGTATAAAAGTGATCGAAGGTTAGAAAATGCTTGCATTCCAGTTATATGGTGTCATATGTTTTGCTAGAAAAGTTTGACAATCAACTCAGATTCTATCTAGTTGAAATGATAAACATGGTTGAACTGGTTGTCGTTTAGGGACATTTTTATTGTACTTAGATTTTCTGGTTTATTGCAATTTTCACCGAGTAAATTTGAAATAGTAAGGATACATTTTAAAGGGAAATTATTTTTCAAAATAAATTTTAGCTTTCATTTAAATTTGAAGCCTGTCATACAATACTATAACCTGCCAAGGTATGAAACATAAAATACTATGGTAGCTATGTAAGAATAATATCAAATGCTAAATTAAATCAATATGGTTCTGTACTTCACATAACTTTTTTGCAAGAATTTTCAAATAAGTCAAAACCATTCAGAAACGAAATTATCAAGATATGTTTATATTTCCCTCTGCTGAATTGGGTTTCAGAATCCTAAACGTTTTAGTGCTAGATAGGATATCGTATCCCGTATGACACAAACATACAATATTTGGTTCTCTGATTTATGAAGTCGCTTGGAAAGGCTGCAACGAAGCATACAGTTTTGCAGTATCCAAGGAATTTTCCCTCAAGCTGCTAATGGGTTTCTACCAATACTATTAGAGAGTGCCAAATCAACTGGGTTTTACCAAACTCTTTGAATGTGATTGTAGACCATCTTATTAAAATATTATTTGCAATATTGTTATTTCTAGACCTGGCAGGCGATGTAAGCAGTGTTATGCTTCTATGGAGGAGGATGTCAAGTTTCGGAAACTTGCAGGTACGTACATGTACCATTTTTTGTATTGAAGGGAAAAATCTGCAATTTTTTAACCATATCACTAAAGATTGATGAATTATTTTTCGACAGAATATTGAGAATTTTGAATTATTTTTCGAAAGATTTATTTTTCGCTGCAATTTTTGAATGTATCAATCTGCCTTTATTTTGCATATTAAAACAGAACGGAGAATATTTACAATTGTATTAAATGATGGTATCAAATGCATGCAACCATACAAAAAAACAACTCAAAGCCGGCAGCAAGGAGTAACAATTGTAACCAGAGGTGAAAAAGATTTTCTGTTGATAGTTTTGCTCTTTGCAAAAAGATTCTCTTGAGTTAAATTATATGTAAACAGGCAGCTTGTTGATTACACAGTTATTGATCATGATTGAGCTGGCGCAAACCATTGAACAAAAGACTAAAAATTCAGATGCCTTTAGGCTCAAACTTTGATCTCCTTTGCATACAATGCTCTTGCTGTTGATGAATCTATCAATACTCTCTATTCTAAAATACGTTTCATTACCCTAAACCTGTTTTTGCAGATGATCTGGTAAATAGAATGAAAATTGGGCACGATTATTGGATCACTGGGGTAGTTATCAGAGAGCCAATGCGTCGAACAGCGTCGCAGCAGTTTTACGATACTGTTTTGGAGGTACGCAAAAAGACCTTTTTTAAAACAAAAGTTACTTTAAAAAAAAAGGTACAAAAGAATTGGAAGTGATAGAAAGAAGACCAAGACTGTCTTGGGCATTTTCAGCAAATAATAAGAGAGAAAACTTTTCTAAGGCTTAGATTTTATTTCATTTTTTCCTAGCATTCACCTTTAAAATGTGTATCAGCCGAAACCCCCTTTTGTTCCAATTCCCTTGAAATGTCTAAGTACTTAGTAAAGCTCTATAGAATATACCTACGTGCAGAGTCAGGAAAACATTACGGTTACACGGCCACTGACCGGAGGGAGGTTTGCCTTCTGGCCATGAAGAACAATAGAAGCTCATATGACACACCCAAGCCACGTCCACTTTCTATTGTTTTGTGAGAAAGGTTTGCCTTCTGGGATGTATTGTCTGGAGGAAGGTTAAAAACTTTTCTAGACTCTGCTTGCGTGATCTTTTTAGGTTTTCAACACTCTTTGGACGTCTTATTTCAATTTCTTATTCAATCATAATGGATTCACATTTGCTGCAAAAATATTTCCAATCAGAATAAAATTATACTGTTGGTTACAGCATATTTTTAATGCAAACCATATTCTGTTTTCTAGTAATGTCCCTGTAGCTGTAGACATCCGTTCTTATTATAATTTGTCTTCTTTCAGGCCTGTGATATCGTGGAGGTATGATCTATAACGCTTTTTCAATACTAAGTTATTCGTCCTCTTTTTAGTTAACGTTCATGGTAAAAATGATTATTCTATAATATTTTTTTTCTCTGACAATAGTGTTAAAAAAGTAATGTAATATTTACAGTGTTGTTTGAAAGAACATATTCTTAGGCACCGTGCACCAGTCTAAAATTTTGGGGGGGGAGGGGCTTAAAAGGGGGTGACTAAAAAATCTTTTAAGGCCACACCCTTTAGTACGCCGGAAAACATCTCTTTTAGGAAATAATTGCTGGTTTTTTTAAAACCAGTCTGATTTAGAAAAGATGTCAATAACTATAAAAAAAGAAAAAATTAGCTTGAGGATTAGAAGATGCATCATGTCATTAAACAGAACAAAACACCTAGAAAATGAACAGAAAGGATTCCCAGCCAAGAAGAACGCTACTACTTAAAATCCCTTAGGGTGAACTTTCCAAAGTTGTGTTAGAGTATTGTAAAAAAGTAGGAGGGGGACTATAGCCCCTTCCAGCCCAATTGCTGCGCGGTGCCTGCATATTTCTGTTTTCTTTGTGACGTCTTTACAGAAAACTAATCTGGAATTTTCCTTTTCTGAAAATTTTAAGTATGCAAAAATGATTGCTGTTAAGAAGAATGATTGCACAGAGGACTTGCCGGATTCTATAAGATCACTGTATGAAGGTATGCTCTTATTTCTTTCATACCTACTATAGTACAACATAACTATCATATTGATAAACCAACTAAATTTTGTCGTTTATTTAGTTCGTTGCTTCAATGTAATCGATTAGTTTACCTACTGAGAGAGCCCCTCCTTTAGGTAATTCCCTGCATGTAATTTATTTTATTTCTTTGTTTTGTATTTGCATATTGTGCTAATTGTTCGTTTCATGCCTTATGTAGTTGTAGTTCGATTATTTCTTTGTGTAGTTTAATTATACTAAATTTTATGTTGTGGAATTTAAAATATGATACCGAATATTTACTTAATTCAGAAAATGAAATTGCCCTGTATTCATTTGTTGGCTTGTTTTGAAGGACAAATAAAGCACGGTGTTTTGTGCTCAGTGCAATCGGTGTTCTAATAAAGATGTAATTTATTTGGGGTACTTGTCTCATATAGCAACAGAGTTTACTTGGAATTTATAATTATTTGATGTCGGTATGCTATTCTTGATAATTTGCATAAAAACTTTCTCGACACTAGATCGTATAATGTCTCCTTGGAGTTTTGCTACAAGTCTAGCGTACAGCTTTGGTGGTGAGAAAATTTTGGTTTAAATTTAGATTCATTGACAACATATTTTTCTTTTTACTTTGACCTAAGATTACCCGTTCTAAAATCTACTTAAACTGTTTGCTGAAACAATAAGAACTGAACCTTGCAGTTTGTATGCTGAATTCTTGAATTTGTAAATTATAATTCATATCATTGCAGCGCGTAATGCATAAACATACAATTATTTTTAGTTTGGTTGTTTAGCTTGAATTTCAATAAACACATGAATAAAACCTTGCTTTATGTTACATATGTGGTTTGAAATGTTCACAGTATCCAAACGCAATACTTTTTTACTGCTACTAAGCCAAATTCCAATTGCTATGACTTTGAATTCTACAGAGTCAATTTGCATTGGTGGATCATTTCACAAATTGAAGCTTGCACTGTTACTAAGCTCTGTTTTAAGTGGAAATGATCTTCTTGTCGAAGATATTAATGGAAAGCTGGTAATTGGAAACGAGCTGCAAAGGATAAATATCCTATGCATATCAGATGATGTAGGAAAACTACAAAGACTGTTCACATATGCAAGCAGTGTATGTGACAAGGCAGTGTTAAGTCAGCAAAATCTAGATTTATTTGGGTCTGTGACAAAGAAACACGAAGCAGACACCCATGTACACATTGACGGTGAGTGGGGCAGTTTTATCATTTTGATCATATTTGTTATACTTATCATATTTATTATATTAATCGTGTTTATTACAATTTTTTAAACCAGTTGTCATTACATTTTGCAAAAGCATATAACACTTAAAAACCCTAATATTGCAAGGTAATTTGTAGGTGCCACACTTACATTGAAAAAACAGTTACAAAAAGCAAAAGAAACTATACATAACATAAATACAAGCATGATGATGTAAGTATAGTGACGATGTTGGTAAGGCTGTTGACCATCTCCCAAAATTCATGTTTATTACTTTCTTTTTTACCCTTTGGGTTCCTTGGTTCCTATAAATTTCAGTCAGAAATTCTGTCAGTTTGTTGGGGAAGTCAGAGCAAGAGAAACAAAGGCAAATTGTCGTACGTGCACATACAAGTGGTTTTCAGATGATGTTATGGAACGGCTTGAACAGCAAAGCGAAGACTTCGAGTACCTAATTGCGTCGAAGGTTAACAACGAAGGACAAGCACAATTCCTTCGTGAGTAACATCTTCAAATGCCAGAAAAGAGCAAATCGCGTAGAAGCAGTACTATATATGAAGTGAAGACTAGAGCGGCCGGAATTGGAACTTCGCTAATGGCTCATTGAAGAAGCACAAGGCCCAGTGCAAGTGTGGACAAGCATTCTTCGAAATTGGAGAAAACAAATTCAAGGAAAGAGAAAAAAGCCAACTGGAAATCACGATAGAGCGACGAATGCAAGGTGCCACAGAGGATGCCATGCTGGAAGAATTTGTAGACACCTGGATTCACAGTCAATCTTCTGTTGACAAAAGTATTAACCGGCAGCAAAATGCTACTCTACAGTTTCAAAATGCTACTCCACGACCATGGCAAGATTAAGTTCTGCGTCTGCTTTGCTGCCAGGGGCCAGGTAGAACAACTATTGTGGAAACTACCGGCAAGATCTTTCATGCATAATACATTCTGGCAACGAAAAATTCTCTGTATTTCACGAAAACATCGTTGAAAGACATTGCCTATGCCTGGAACGGAGAGCGATATTTCGTGTTTGATGTAAGCAGGGAAAAATCGCAAAAGATAAACTATTCCACATTATTGTTTTCAGTAGCAAGTATAAATCGTCAACTAAAATTTTTCATATTCCAATTATCGTATGTATAATGAACACTAGACCCTACGCTAAAATGATGTCCAATGATAGGTATCACATTGTCGTCTTAGAGAAGTCCCCTGACCCCCTTGAGCACTATATTTCATTGAAAATAGAAGACTATAAGAATGCCCAGGAGCAGGTATCTGAATAAAAACTCTTAAGAAAAATTGTAATATTTTTTGTTGTTTTCTCCTTTAAAAGGATCATAAACGCATATGGAATGCTTACACGCCAATAGCTTCAATTCTTAAAGCAAGTTTTAAAATGCTGAGACTAGCATGAGAAAAATCTGTAACTAAATAGTATATCCAACATTTGTCTTGGCTCCAGTCTATAGGTTTCGGACAAATGCTCGTCTTCCAGCCTTGAAGTGAAACGGGCTTATGACTTCATTGTCTTTTCATTGATAGATGCAAAAGCTTTCTTTAGGCAAGGCTTCCATCCATAAGCTTACAAGGGTATCCCAGGCTTCTGACCTCATTTCCATGTTACTTGGCTGATGATCTCGATGTCATTATCAAAGGCCACTGCCTTGTCAAACTTTATTGAGAAAAAACCCAGCCCAATATTTTATAATGTATAGTATGGCACACCCATCCGAGATTACAAGCCGACATAATCACGAGAACGGAAGACCACTCACTGCCTAATCAAACTTAAGTGAAAAAGCCCAGCCCAATACTTTACAACGTATAGTAAGACACACCCATCCGAGATTACAAGCCAACATAATTACGAAGATGGAAGACCATTCACTGCCTTGTCAAGCTTTATAGGAAATAGCCAAGCCCCACATTTTACAAAGTATAGCATGGCACGCCCACGAGACTACGAACCAACATCATTACGAGGATGGAAGATCACTCACTGCCTTGTCAAACCTTGTAGGAAAAAGCCCAGCCCAACACTTATAATGTATAGTATGGCACACCCATCCAAAAATCAGTTTTATACCATTGTTGGCGTCTGACACATGTGTATTGCATAGGCACCGCGCTTGATAACGTGAGTACGACGTCTCAAATACTACGGGGTCGTCATCCAGTGACTGGGACCAAAAAAACACCAAGCATACAACATCTGTACCATAGGTCACAAACATCAACTGCATAATATTCCGGTCTGGTCGTTCAAAGATTGCAACGTGGAACGTACAAACACTTTATCAAGCAGGTAAACTGGACAATGTCCTCCGCGAAGTGGACCGGATGAAGATTAATTGCGTAGATCTGTGCGAGGTGCGGTGGCCTGGTGATGGCGTCGTCATCAAAGACACCAAACGAATCTTTAACTCAAGAGGGACAAAACATTACAACATCGGTTTGATTCTCGATTCCTACTTCTCTAAGTCTGCACTTTCCTTCTGGCCAAAATCTGACTGAATGTTGCTAGTAAAATTGAGCGCTAGCCCCTTCAATGTCAACATCATTGTCGTCTACATCCCAACATTGGATAAAGATGACAGCGTTGTAGACCAATTTTATGACTCCCTTGATGAGCTCATAAAGTGCTGCAAGTCACAGAAAGTTACCGTTGTCATGTGAGACTGGAATGCAGGACCGTACGAATTGGGGGAGCGAAACGAAAGGAAGACAGATTTGGGAATTGGTGCATTGAAAACCGGTTAGTGACCACTAGCACGTGGTTCAAGGTTCTCCCGCTGTGCCGTTATAGGCAGGACAATGGCTTTAAAAATCTGATTTCTCACCTAAACGAGATGATCTCGATGATTTTATATACCTTCGAGTATTGAGATTCAGAAGCCAAGATGGGACTAAAAAAGTTTGCTTCGTCATAAATCGGCTATTTATTCAAAAAGACGGCATAATCAGTCATAAATCCGCTATTCATTCTAAATAAATTGCACAATTCAGCAATTGTAGGTTTATGTGAATGTGCATTTCAAGAGCTTTCAATTGATGTATCATATAATCGAAATTGCTGACGTTTGCTTATTTTGTGACATCATTAGTGGATTTTCCCAAGTTTTGCCACAACCTTGTGCTGATAACTAAGTGAGTTGCATTTCACTGCAAATACGCCAAAACTATGTTGATCTGAATATGTTTGATGCTTCTGGACATTATTTGACTCTGCTTGACACTAATAAGTCTGAATAATAATCATACTGACTTGTGTAGTGCGACAACAATGGAGATAAAGTTTTTTCCTTACAAAGCTTTTTCCTTTCCTTACATCCGTATTCGTCATATTTAACTTATTTAGCATATTTATCATATTTATCATATTTATCATACCTTGACCATAATTATCAACTTTATCTTATTTACCATTTTTATCAAATTAATCATATTTATCATATATATCATTTTTAACATATAAAGTGACTGTGGTTATATCAAATTGAACAACATTCTTGATTTTCAGGTGGAAGTTTGCTTCTAGCAGGCAAACATTTATGTGTTTTTCCAAATTTGGCTAATTTAAAGAAAGATGAAGTCAGTAAACTTCAAAAAAGTACGTGCTTTCTTTGTCAGAATTAAGAAAACCCATAGCACATTTTTGCACTCCTGTGCTATCACAGTAATAGATTGCCTAGTACTGTTCTCCTTTAGAGAGTTATGTATCATTTATAAATTTCCTAAGCATTAAAAAGCCGTGAAGTTCAAACTATTTGCTGACAACGATGTATATAATATAAACAGGCTATTCCTGCAATCCTAGACTAACTTCAAATATGTGTTATTATGTATTGCCACTTTCTTATTTTCCTTTAAGGCAATAAACAAATATTTGATCCATCTCATAACATTTCCTAGGTGTTTGGATAATTTTACACTCTCCCTTTCTATTGAAGTCTCGTTAACAGTGATGCAGACAAGCTACGATATATGTTACTGTATAAAAAGTAAGCCTTAGCTTTTTTACTTATTTTGTTGGTGAGCCAGTGGCCTTTTTTAACTCTCTGTTTCCTGCAGCTCTAGAAGAAGGATCTGTATCGATAGACATTCCAAGACGTAAGGCTAATGAATCAGAATACATCCAAATGAAATTCCCATTAGACTGCACGCTCTGGGCTTTAGCCGAGTCTACAAAGGAACAAAATGAGGTATTGTAAACGGTACGATGCGCCTGCTCACAATGTGTAGTATTAAACTGTGTAGAATCAATGCAATTTTTTGTTTTATTTAATTGCGAAGTCCAGAGAAAGTTGCAGATTAACTCTTGAGAAAGATAGCGGCTCAGCTACCGTGCCCAAATTTACCTTTTTATACTTTTCTTAAGCATCGTTTTCAACGTTTGCAAAAAGACTTGAGAAGGAACGAAAACTATGTGAATCGATTGATTTTTAACGAATAGTTGAGGCTCGTTCACGAGAGAAACCTAAATTAAAACACCTGAATTACCTAAATTAAAACAAAACCAAGGATTGATCGCAATTAAGCGAAAAGTTTTCAATTTTTCAATTATTATTATCTTTCACAGGTTGCCAAAAATCCTTGGATGCAATTAGCTGAGTATGAATCTTTCAATTTTGTTTACAGTTGAGAATCTGAGATACCATAACAAAACCAGCTCCTAAACACTGGGTTACTTTCTTACACACAAAAATCTTTCCTTTATCCAGACAGCATTCAGTTTGAGTGTTTGCTTTATTTTGTTATAATAATTTAACTTAGTTTCAGGATTACTGATGCTTCAGTTTATTTTTGCGTTGCTATTTGTCGTCAAAGGAATTTTATAACTTTGATATGAAATCAGATGAGAATCTAAATTCATAAATTAGTTTCACACAAGTTTGATCTAGTGTACTAGCAAACCTTAAGATAACAGAGTGCTGGTACGCAGCTTGGGGTTCTGGGTTGAAACCTGCTATAGGGTCTGATTAAATGTTAGTTTATGAGAAATTCAAAATTGTCATAGAGCTCTTTTGGGATAGAGCCCTTGGTATTTCACATAGCTAGACCTTTTCAACCCCCCCCCCTGCCTAATACTATGGCAACATTTGGTTTTACTTCTTGGCTGTAGAAGCTTTATTCTTACTACATGCATTCTATCATTCGTTTGAAATTGCAGAGGCTTAATAATTTGCTGAAACTTTTCCCAATGACATGAAAAGCACAAAGCACATAAAAGTTATGAACAATCATGAATCGATCTAAGAAATAGAACTTTTTTTATTACTATGGCCAGAATAGACCTTGTTGATTCAATCATAAATGTTGATTCAATATTTCAACGTATTTTTAAAGAGCTACAGATTTTTTATAGATTCTATCATTTCAGAGATTTAAAGATGATACAACAAATGTATAGCTTGATAATCTGAATTGCTTTGTAGCCATTTTGATTTGGTTTACGACTTATCCAAAGAATACAAGCTGCCAGATGACATAGAGAAGGTTCAGATCACAGAAATACTCAGAGAGGCAGTAGGATATGAAAATCACAGCGAAATTAAACACAATGACCTTAGAACGGTACGAAAATCTGTTCGTGTTACAAAACTTCAAGACGTTTCAAAACATCAATCTCTGCAACGTTAGACTAACTTTCAAAGTTTTTCTTTATCAATAATATCATACCAACAATGTTATTGAAAACAAGGAGCATAAAATGAAGTTTGAAAAGCTATAAAAACCTACGCATTGGCTTTTAAGTTTCTTAATATTCTGTTATATTTTATCATCGTATATCTTCTCAACATTGATATTTCTAGTATGAAAAATTTTTAAAAGATGTTTTTATGCCTTCATCGCTTAAGAACTCCATCAGGTTCAGAACCAGCATGAAAAATTCAAGAAATATTTATAATCGTGTCTACTTACCTTATCTACCAATGAAGAATCTTAAGCAATTTTCCTTTTGCAGTTTGCCAAAATTGCAAGAACACAGCGTGTTACTTTCTCAGAGAACGCATCGAAGATGATTAGGTCTTTCTTTCTGGCAAGTAGAAGGGCGAGGAATACGTCACTAATTGGAAGTGAAATTGGGAAGAAGTCATTACAAACCATGTATGTCTCATCGGTATATCTACTGCATTGTACTGGAATCAGCAATATGCTATTTCATTTGAGTATTTTTTCATTTATTTCTTTATATATTTGTTTAGAAATATGTATGTGGTGCGTGCATCAATGGATTGTTGTTGTGACGTCCAAAGTTTGCACCTCAATCGTACAGCTAGAGAGGCAGTCTACAGAAGAGGAATCTAGGCTATAACTTGCCATAACAAGAAAGCTATCTAGTCCAGGGTTGTCTTAATATTTTTCACGTTGTCATTATTTGCTGTTTTATTTAATTTCTTCAACTCCAATTTACTTTATCTCTATAACCCAGCGTACGGGTTATAATAAGATGCCTTCTCCTGTTGAAAAATTCCAAGTGACTACAAAAACAACCATCCTAAGTTTTGTATCGAATAAACTGAGCTTTTTCTAGGCTGAAATTCTGTTACTGTGAGGTAATCGCTACGCGTAATAAATTAAAACATTTTTGAAAGCCACATTATTCACCAGTCTCAAATACATATTTATCTTCAGGCTTTCTATTGCTGCTGCACATGCCAAGCTCTCACTTCGCAAAGAGGTACATAAATGGCACTTGATTTGAAATATTTACTGAACATGTCATAATAATTGCTAAAAAGATATATTTATTCAACTGCCTGCTTAAGCGTAATCAACTTGTACATTACTAAATGAGATTATTTTTTACGCATGATTATATCAAGCAATAAATAAATCTATATCTGCATACTATTCTTATGCTATTCTTATTATATAATCACTTGATAAAGCCTTCTACAAGTTTTTCTTATTTGCAATTCAAGTATCTAGGCCGAGATGGCCCTTAACTGCTTACAGTACTACAGCGAATTACAATTTTTATCTGCATTTTATTCTAATGCAAAATCATTTGATAAAGCCTTCTATCAATAGGCTAGTCTTAATTTCTTAATTTTATCGATGCTGTAGTTATGATGTTATTGAATTAAAACTTGAAGTTTGTTGCATTTTTTCACTTCATTATTTATTTGTTTTATCCAGTAATAATATTAGACATCAAAATATACATCCTTTTATCATAAGAAACCACTTTATAAGGAACCTACATGTTGAAGGCAGGAAAAAGTAAAAAACCGTTAGCACTAAAGACAAAATCTCTGAGGAATTTTTCAATTTTGAATATTCTTATAATTGCAAAAAACCAGGAATTGTTACGAGGTTAGCTACCCAGTGTTCAATTATGTATTTTTGAGGGTTTCATTTTTCTTCTTGATTCAACTTTTTCATATATCAAACGTGTCTTTTATATGTTTTTCATCTTATTCCCTAGCTACAGCTAGCAAACTAGCGACACCAATGCAGAATGCTTTGTGAAATGTTTATGGCACCAAATGTGCAGTTGATTTAAGGAACTGCTATGTAATTTTTTGTATTACAACTCAATTAAAAGAGATAAAAAATAACAACCTTCAAGAACTAGGTTTGCCTATAAACAGCATGCATTACGTATTCTAATAGCCTGGTGTATTTCTAAATGCTTGCTAACCAATTGTCTTTATTTTTCATCTGCAAATAGGTGACTGTTGACGATGCAATCATAGCAATTACTTTTTACGAAGAATGTATCACTATTAAAACGGGTAAGCATTCCACCCTTGTTTGATCACGACTTGCGATTTAACTTTTCTTTTTATTCATTTCTCATCACTCCTTATTATCTGTGTATCTAAGTATTTCTAGGTTTTGATGCACATTAGAAGTTCTTTCAAAAAGCTACGATTCAGTATCCCCCCTTCCCAACCCCTTTAAAGAATCCTGCTCCAACCACTCATATGCAGTTTTTCTGCAGCTGAATCAAGATTCGGTTTTTTCTACTTATGACATTTAATGTTTTTGATTCAATGACATTTTTTTCAAAGGTCAATCAGTTATTGATCTACAACCAAAAATTCATTTTGCGAAAGAAAACTTTGCAGAAAACTTAGGACCAAAGGTTAGCAGAAAAAAGTTGATTTTGAATACTTGAAGTTAATTAATATGTGCTTCAGGGTTGTTTAAAAAGTTTGAAAAGGAGTAAGGAGGCCCTCAGAACAGTTGAACATTTTCAATGCTCATTCAGAACTTGGTCTCAATCTGTCGGGAATGCGTCCACAGATATCCCAAACCATCTTTTTGGCGTTAAGAAAGTATCAAAGACCTTCCTTCGCGACTGACACACCTTTTTATGCACAAGTCGCAAGAAATTCGACCATAAATCATATGTGAAGAAGGAGAGAAAATATTTAAATATTCGGCATTGTCCGCTTTGGTTAGGTTTGACTAATACCTCAAAATAGTTTTCTTTTAGCACCGTGTAATCAAGTGTACCTTACAAAATTGCACGCTAGTTGCGATGAACTTATGAAAAGCTTATTCACTTGTTTACTGCTACAATGAGCTCAAACCTAAACCATGCTGTTTGAGCCAAAAAATGCCGGGATTACCAAAAGTGATAAGACTTTGCTCTATCGATAACACGTATCACATATGAAACGTGATAAGACTTCACTTTATCAAGACTATGTTGTAGGATAAATAGCTTGCATTTAGATTTGGCATTAACATTATCTTTCTATGGCTATTGTTCTCTAATCGAACGTATTTGTTTCCTCTGAATTATTACAAATCTCTCGATTAAAAAATTTCCAATACTTGTAAAAATTCTGGCATGGACTTGTGAAAATTTTGCTCTAGAGCTAGTACAAATACTTTTATTTTGCAGGCCAATTTTTCAGTCTACATATTGATCAACAAGATTAAAAATTTCATACTTATCAGTTTCATAATCCAATGTCCCCAGGCTGTACAACAAATAAAATTTAATAACAAATAATAAGATGAAAAACAACCTGATATATCTGATGAAAAAATTGAATACGTTTTGTTTTCAACGTCATTGAAGAGAGTTCAAAATAGTCAAAAATGAATGCAACAAAATATATTTAATCTTTATTACCGCTGTTTGGTTTGCTGTCTTTAGCAAAATAGTTTTATCTTATCTGTTTCTCCAGAGATAAGAGAGATATCCAAAAGATTAAATTATTGCAGGAATAAAAAAATTGAAATTTAAAATGACGCGGTGTAGAATGTGTTATGTTTTGTAATTGGAGTAAGTTTAGTCAGTCGAAACCTGATTCTACAAATTTGTTAGTATTTTGGGCATAAAACCAAAAAAAGAGTGCAGTTTTGTATTAAGTGAAAAATATATTTTGAAATCAAGCCAAATCTAGGGATTTCTACGGAAATATAAGCAGCAAGGCCTTTGATGCCAATGAATGGAACCAGCTGTCTGAGTTGAAGAGGATTTGGTGTTTCAAATATTTAATTTGAGGCAACATTTCCGTGGAGTTCAACTCAGACAAGTTCATTAAATCATTATATCCAATGTTTTATCTAGAAAAATGTGTCATAATCGGTCAAAAGTAAATCGATTCTCGTGCTTGAGAAAAATTGCTCGAAATATTGTTTTGCTAATGAAATTTTTGTGCCACTACGTTTAGTATTTAGTGCAAGCATGATTCTTTGCTGGAGTCTGTATGGCCTGTCATTCTGTAGCGGTGGAAGCATTCTCATAGGGCGGTGCTTCGGCCCCTAGACACCGTCAGCACTTTGAAGTCGTCAAAATTGCTGGAAAGATTGTTTTATTAATAAAGTTTTTATGCCACTAGGTTTAGTTATGAGTGCGAGCATGAAGTCCTCAATCAAAATACGAGTCTTTAAGATGAAGAAACAAAGCCTTCTTTATATTTTATAATGTCAAGTACGTTTTTTTCCAAGAATGATGAAATAATGGCTCTGATGCACAGAAAGATAATGACGTTCTGTCACACATTTTCTAGTGGACCTGGATCATTTTATCGTGCAGAAGAATAATGCAACAGAGGTAGGTCAAGTCCCAAAATGTCTATATTTTGGCATTTTGGGCATAATTTCTAGCATTCTATAGAATCATTTGCAAAAATTCAAAATTAATCATACAATGTAAAAAATGCGTCTTTTGCTGCCGTAAATGGAGGAAAGAAGTGGTCAGGTGACAGTTTTGTTTAGGTTTCTTCTTAAAATAACACCTTCGCGAGTTTAAATACTTTTGAAAAATCCTCAATTTTCACGCTTTCTGTTGGGAAGTTCAGTTTTGCTTTTTTTCTTAAATGCTAATAAAGGTGTGCTTTTTGGAATGTGCAAAAATGGCCGATTCATTAGTTCACCCAATAATGATCTACTAGATTCTTTGGGACAAATTTTAACATCTAAAATTTGGTGTTTTATGCTATTCGCCATAGTAAAAATTATGAAGTTCTGACTGTTTCCAATTGACTTTTTTAGAGCATCTCTGCTTTACCTCGACACACCAGAAACAGCCAATCCCTTAGGCCTATGCTCCTTGAAAACAACTTCTGAAGTAAATATTTTTGCTTACAACCCTCTTAATGATATTTGTTGTTGTCACAAAGGAAATCTTCATGTTTAAACTTTCAATACACTTGTAGCGTTCTGGTAAAAGAGACAACATGGCCTAGAAAATGATCAATTAAGACTTCTCTAAAAACAGGAGAAAGAAGCATCTGTCAAAAATAATCGACAACATCATTTGTCCATAATATTTATTTAGAATGTTTCAAGATAATTTAGAATATTTGTCACCTAAGAAATTTAGAAAATTCACTCATAGACATAACACCTAGACACAACTTTTGTTGATATCGTTTGATAACCAGTTGAAAATTCGCCGATATAATTTTTTGGCGATACAAAACTTGACAATTGCTTTAAAAAATGCAAAATGTTTACAACACACTTTAATCTTCATTTCGTACATATTGGCTAACCATACCGGGCACGTGCTTGCATTTTTCTGACTGGTCTATTTCGCTCCACTACCAGGTCCGACAAAGAAATTTTTATTATGTTTTTAAATCTTTTATTTTTTCAGAGCCAGGTAAAAAGAATTAAAATATAATAACAATGTTTTTAAAAAGTAGCATGGTCTAGAGCTTTGTAATTATTACGCTATTGGTTATTGTAAAATTTAAGCCCCTCCTCTTAAATAAGCCTCCTCTCTAGGACTGAATAAAATAATTAAGCCCCTGGGGGCTTAATAGAGCTTTTACGGTATGCGATACCATGTACTATGTATTATGAGATAGTTCATGTAATATTTAAGTTGTAAATTATAAAAATACAGTACTGTGTAAGGAATGGATTATAACGTTTGCACGCAGATGCTAGATCTATGTCACCATTCTGATTTCTATTTTGAAGGATTTAAGTAGGAGACATGTAAAACTTTGGCTTTTTTATTTCGGTCAAAAGGTAAAAGACAATAGGCTATCAAATAATATTGATTTATCAGAAAACGTTTCACGCCTGAAATGACACCGAAAAAAAATTATTTAGTAAATTTTCAAAAGTAACAAATCTTTGTAAATAATTCCTCGTTTTTTTAAAAATGTTTTGAAAATTTGTATGGTGACCAAGAGCTGCCACTTAATTCTCACTTTAATTCTACAAGAAAGGAAAAAAGAAATTAAGATTATTTCAACGTTCGCTTTACTCCAGGTTAACTTTTTATGGCATTTTTTAATTGGACTTTGAATGAGGAATTTTAGAGAAAAAGTAAGGCTATAGGCTTAGGAAAAATGTCGATTTTTTATGCATAAATTTTGATATAAAAACTCTGTTAAACTGCTTAAACATTTATTTTGTTTGCATTAAATAGCATTTCGATGTTATTTGGATAGTTTTATGGCATTCTTTCATTGAAAATTAAATGAGGATTTTTGGTAAAAAAAGTAAGGCTAACGGCCTAGGAAAAATGTCAATTTTTGATGGATAAATTTTCATCTAAAATTACTGTTAAAACTGCTTAAAAACATAATTTGTTTGAATTAAAAGGCATTTTGATGTGATTTGGATAGTTTTATGGCATTCTTTCATTGAAAACTGAATGAGGATTTTTGGTAAAAAAAGTAAGGCTATACAGTAGGCTTGGGAAAAACGTCGATTTTTGATATATCAGTTTTGATCTAAAATTGCTGTTAAAACTGTTTAAAAACCTCAGTTGTTTGAATATAAAGGCATTTTGATGTGATTTGGATAGTTTTTTGGCATTTTTTCATTGAAAACTGAATGAGGATTTTTGGTGAAAAAAGTAAGGCTATAGGCTTGGGAAAAACGTCGATTTTTGATGGATAAATTTTGATCTAAAATTGCTGTTACAACTGTTTAAAAACCTCAGTTGTTTGAATTTAAAGGCATTTTGATGTGATTTGGATAGTTTTTTGGCATTTTTTCATTGAAAACTGAATGAGGATTTTTGGTAAAAAAAGTAAGGCTATAGGCTTGGGAAAAACGTCGATTTTTGATGGATATATTTTGATCTAAAATTGCTGTTAAAACTGCTTAAAAACTTTATTTGTTTGAATTAAAGGCCATTTTGATGGGATTTAGATAGTTTTATGGCATTTTTTCATTGAAAACTGAATGAGGATTTTTGGTGAAAAAAGTAAGGCTATAGGCTTGGGAAAAACGTCGATTGTTGATATATCAATTTTGATCTAAAATTGCTGTTAAAACTGTTTAAAAACCTCAGTTGTTTGAATAAAAAGGCATTTTGATGTGATTTGGATAGTTTTTTGGCATTTTTTCATTGAAAACTGAATGAGGATTTTTGGTGAAAAAAGTAAGGCTATAGGCTTGGGAAAAACGTCGATTTTTTATGGATAAATTTTGATCTAAAATTGGCATTTTTTCATTGAAAACTGAATGAGGATTTTTGGTGAAAAAAGTAAGGCTGGCTTAAAAAACGTTTTTTGATATAAATTTTGATCTAATATTGAAAACTGTAAAGTTTGAATAAAAAGGCATTTTGATGTGATTTAGATAGTTTTATGGCATTTTTTCATTGAAAACTGAATGAGGATTTTTGGTGAAAAAAGTAAGGCTACAGGCTTGGGAAAAACGTCGATTTTTGATATATCAATTTTGATCTAATATTGCTGTTAAAACTGTTTAAAAACCTCAGTTGTTTGAATAAAAAGGCATTTTGATGTGATTTGGATAGTTTTTTGGCATTTTTTCATTAAAAACTGAATGAGGATTTTTGATGAAAAAAGTAAGGCTATAGGCTTGGGAAAAACGTCGATTTTTGATGGATAAATTTTGATCTAAAATTGCTGTTACAACTGTTTAAAAACCTCAGTTGTTTGAATTTAAAGGCATTTTGATGTGATTTGGATAGTTTTTTGGCATTTTTTCATTGAAAACTGAATGAGGATTTTTGGTAAAAAAAGTAAGGCTATAGGCTTGGGAAAAACGTCGATTTTTGATGGATAAATTTTGATCTAAAATTGCTGTTAAAACTGCTTAAAAACTTTATTTGTTTGAATTAAAGGGCATTTTGATGTGATTTAGATAGTTTTATGGCATTTTTTCATTGAAAACTGAATGAGGATTTTTGGTGAAAAAGTAAGGCTATAGGCTTGGGAAAAACGTCGATTTTTGATGGATAAATTTTGATCTAAAATTGCTGTTAAAACTGCTTAAAAACTTTATTTGTTTGAATTAAAGGGCATTTTGATGTGATTTAGATAGTTTTATGGCATTTTTTCATTGAAAACTGAATGAGGATTTTTGGTGAAAAAAGTAAGGCTATAGGCTTGGGAAAAACGTCGATTTTTGATGGATAAATTTTGATCTAAAATTAATGTTAAAACTGCTTAAAAACTTGATTTGTTTGAATTAAAGGGCATTTTGATGTGATTTAGATAGTTTTATGGCATTTTTTCATTGAAAACTGAATGAGGATTTTTGGTGAAAAAAGTAAGGCTATAGGCTTGGGAAAAACGTCGATTTTTGATGGATAAATTTTGATCTAAAATTGCTGTTAAAACTGCTTAAAAACTTTATTTCTTTGAATTAAAGGGCATTTTGATGTGATTTAGATAGTTTTATGGCATTTTTTCATTGAAAACTGAATGAGGATTTTTGGTGAAAAAAGTAAGGCTATAGGCTTGGGAAAAACGTCGATTTTTGATGGATAAATTTTGATCTAAACTTGCTGTTAAAACTGCTTAAAAACTTGATTTGTTTGCATTTAAAGACATTTGGAAGTGATTTGGATAATTTTATGGCATTTTTTCATTGACAACTGAATGAGGATTTTTGGTGAAAAAAGTAAGGCTATAGGCTTGGAAAAAACGTCGATTTTTGATGGATAAATTTTGATCTAAAATTGCTGTTAAAACTGCTTAAAAACTTTATTTGTTTGAATTAAAGTGCATTGGGAAGTGATTTGGATAGTTTTATGGCATTTTTTCATTGAAAACTGAATGAGGATTTTTGGTGAAAAAAGTAAGGCTATAGGCTTGGGAAAAACGTCGATTTTTGATGGATAAATTTTGATCTAAAATTGTTGTTAAAACTGCTTAAACACTTGATTTGTTTGCTTTAAAAGACATTTGGAAGTGATTTGGATAATTTTATGGCATTTTTTCATTAGACACCGAATTAGTGTTTTCTTTGAAAATGTAAGGCTGTAGTTATAGGAAAAAGGCTGTCTTTCGATGATTATCTTCTTTTTCAGAAACCTGTCAAAATGATCAGATTTTTCAATTTTAATTGTCTTACATGATTTTAGACGCATTCTCTACCATTCTTCAATTGCTGTCAATTATGTTTTATTGGCATAAATCTTGGCAAAATGTTAGGCTACATGCTTTGGAAGAAATTTGATTTTTATTAAAATTTTATTCACAAAAACCAATTAGAGTGACCATATTTGTCAAATCAAACCAAATTTAAACTATAATATATGTATTTGATACCATTATTGATAGATCTAAGATCTGAAAAGTTTTTCATTTAAAACGGTATTTAAGTTGATAAAATACTTGAAAATGTCCATCGCTGTTCTAGTTTTTGTCCACTACGTTCAAGCAATCTTCCAAAAAGTGTTTTCTTTTATAACCCAGCGTTTATTATTTTGTAAAAAATTACATAGTTTTATACCCGCCCACACGTATTCGTTTACTTCTACATGTAAACGGCATTTTACTCCTTCCATCCACCTGTAAATAACGATTAAGGTAACCATGAATGCAGACTTCTGAAAGCGCTTACCAATGGGGATACTTTCAGAATCGCCGTGTATGCGTTGTCGCTTGAATGGTGTTCAACAAAAACCTATGTAAACGGAGACTTTAGAGCCTCTTACCTGTTTGTAATAGAAGCTTTAAATGACAGGAGACGTAAGCTGAATATTCCATTATACTTTGGCTCAACTACTGTTCTTCTTTCATGCTTACGAACCAAATCTGTCTTGTTGAGCTTTTTTCATAGGCTCTATGAGAGGAAGAAATAATCATGTTTGGCAAAGTTTATATTTCGATGCTAAAAAACCACAAAAGCGACTGCAAAAGAAGGCCTTTGATGGTAAACGAATGATATTGATGGCACACACATCGATCTATTCGTCAATTAAATTGATTACATTAACAAAAGGGTAACTAAACGTGTAGAAATTGGTAGAAAGCCAGTTATGTAATTTGCTTGGTTGGCACTTGTAATAGACAAGTGCGTGTAAACAGGCAAATACGATTAAACTATCAACCTGTGTGGATGGCAATACTTTCCGTTAATTTACAAACTTTAACAATCATAGACTTATACATGTGGACGAGGCCTAAAATTATCTTTAGGGAATGATGTCACGTGTTGTTTTGTTGTCATTTAGATTGAAGCTAATATCCATTTGGGTCAAGTATTTCTTCAAACGATTTAAAAGTAGAGGACGTCACAACAAAATATTGATGTTTCTAATAAATTATAGTAAACATAAGAAATTCTTTATAACTTACCCGTATTATAGTAGGTGCTGCTTGCAGAGATGCATTCTTGACTATCTTTTCAGCAATGTGTGCCTTACTTGTTATTCAAAGCATTTAACATAACATAACATAACATAACATAACATAACATAACATAACATAACATAACATAACATAACATAACATAACATAACATAACATAACATAACATAACATAACATAACATAACAAACATAACATAACATAACATAACATAACATAACATAACATAACATAACATAACATAACATAACATAACATAACATAACATAACATAACATAACATAACATAACATAACATAACATAACATAACATACATAACATAACATAACATAACATAACATAACATAACATAACATAACATAACATAACATAACATAACATAACATAACATAACATAACATAACAAACATAACATAACATAACATAACATAACATAACATAACATAACATAACATAACATAACATAACATAACATAACATAACATAACATAACATGACATAACATAACATAACATAACATAACATAACATAACATAACATAACATAACATAACATAACATAACATAACATAACATAACATAACATAACATAACATAACATAACATAACATGAAAAATGCGAACAAGTAATTATATTTTATTTTGGAGTAGATGGATAATATGGCATTTAGTTAGAGGAAGGAACTACAAGGAAAAGTTCTGGGCATAAAAGTGAACAAGAAGTAACTGGAGATATTATTTCGAGTTCATTTCTCTGTGCTGAAATTGCCTTTTCAGGAAAGTATTGAAGATAAGAATAAATGACATGATTACCAACCAGGAATTCAAAGATAAAGATAATGAAAGGTACGCCATGACCAACTCTTCCCTGCATCAGGAGGAAGAAATTTATCACCAGGTAATCGGCCGTCAAAGTCCATTTTACCGCATAATAGAAGGCAGATGGAAAGGATTGCGAGCAATTCGACGGATTCTCTGTTCTTTCTTTAACAAACATTGATATTTTTTGTAAGATATATCCCTATTTTGGCCAAGGAAGCTATTTCAAAGGAGAAGGATTTTACAGGTGGAAGTGCACCCATGTCTTTCATAGAAAGATAATTAGAGTGGCATGCTCTCTTTGAAAGCTTTTACCTAATAGAGCCACTTGTCTGTTGCAAAATTCATGTTTTCAAGGTTTCTTGAATTTCTGCTCTTTTCCCGTGAAAGTAACGCATGATAAACTAAACACAGTTGAAACCATTACATTTTGAATAAAAATCTTTTATAAGTCTCAGTCAAATTATGTACAGTTTGCTAACTACCCTTCAAAAGGAGACTGGTGCCTAACACTACAGCGATGACGTAATAATAACTTATATCTAGCATTTACAATATCGTATTCGTTTCTTCCATAATCGTTTCATTTACACAGTGTTATGAATCATCTAGTTACCAGATTCTAGAAAGGATATCAGTCTACATGGTTTTCTGAAGCAGATGGAATACTAATACTCTACTCAAACCACTCTTAAAACGTAAGCTATTCTCTAGGTTCTTCTGTTAGCTCGATAAAACTGCTACCGACTAAATTAGAAATAAGAGCTATTAATACAAGCATTTTTATGCTGTGTACCAAAACTGATGCAGTTATAACCGTTTCAGCAATCTGAATATACAAAGATTCGTACTCAAACACGTTTCGGAAACAGAATCTTATACGTAGATGATCCTCTCAAAGATGCGTGCAACTGCAGGCAAAGGAGCGAAGTTTCGATGATAACACCAAGACTTACAAGGGTTGTGCCATAGGAACTACGGGTATTTAATGGAGCTGCACTGGGTTGGCTATCCATTACATGCATTGAAATTTTATGAACTATAACTGTTTGGTCATATTATAATATCAACGCAAAAGAGTCAATCATGCTGTATATTGATATCCTATGACAATTATCTCTCTGAAAAAATCAAACCAATTTTTAGTTAGTTTGCTTTATCAGTTAGTTTAGTTAGATTCTGTAAATAAATGTATATAATATATATTAATATATATTCAAAATGACTTTTTGCTTTCGTGTTGCAGTTAAAGAACACAGACAAAATCTTCTGCATTTTTTCTTTAAAGGCCTGCTTGGAGCAAAGGAATGTACATAGCTCTGATTATGTTCTGTTAGCCCCCGCTAGTATATATCGATTGCCTTGAAAAAAACCTATTAAGAAGGAAATTGTTGAGCAGCAAGCCAGTGCTGAACCATGCTCAAAACCATTCCCAGGCAGCCATTTATGTGAACCCTACTCTTGGATCTGCATACAAAACAATTACCTTATCACCACATCACTGCTTAATTAAACATTGTAAGAATAATCAGTCAAATGTGTTGTTAAGGTAGCTTAACGAATTCACCATGATAATTTAAGATCGAACGGGCAAAAACTGAAAGCTCAATAATGAGGTCTTTATCCTCTTCTCTCGTTGCCTTCGATTGCAAAACCAAACTCGAACGACCTCTTTGTCCAGCTTCAACGCTTCTGCGATGCCCAAGACTTCAAGTGAAGAGGGCTTTGGTTGCCTTTGAAAGTACCGCTCCAACATCTCCTTTGCATGCAGGCCTATTGTCGTCCTCCGCTTTCTTTTTCTCTCAGAAACTGGTTTGTCGTTATTAACAACACCCATAGCTTCTGCCTTTTCTAGCCAAGCTTCTAACAGCGGCTTCAACTTACAAGCATTCTTATAACTTAGCTGCAGATTTTCAAATCTACAAATGGTCGTTTGACTGAAGTCTGTTCCATCGCTAAGTTTCGCCAATGCAGCACCAACGTTTGTCTGCGTATACCCAAGTTTGATACGCCTCATTTTAAAGCCAGTTGCAAATCTCTCCAGCTCCTGCAACTCTTTGGAAACAACGAGGTGACTGGCATCCTTTTGGGGGCTTTCCAAATGACCATTCTGCAGTTGCTGGTTCAGTGACACACTGGTTGGTAGGGTAGCATGAGGGTTTCGCACGTCAGATGCCATCGTTTGATAGCCTGGATGATAGTATGACGTTGGCTGGCTGATGTATGATGGGTAATTCTGTATGTGATTGGCTGTGTCGTGGTGATTAAAGAATGAACGGTATGTATTGTATGGACTCGTGGACTGCAAACCATATTGCATTTTGCTCTTCAGATCCTTGAAGTGAAAAGAAAAAACCTTAAATTCAATTCATTTACGATTGCTGCTAATCAGTAGGTCCAATGTTGTGTACAAACAGATATTCGCTATTTGGTGTTAGAACGGAACAATTGTAAGTTGCTAATCGGGTTTTCTGCTAATTGCAATCAACAGCAGTAGCGGCGACATGCCCCCCCCCCCTCCCCAGTTCTCAGCTAAATCGATTTTGTATTTCGTCCAAATTCGATGAGAAAATGTCGGGGGAGGGGTAATGTTTTGATACCGTACATTTTTTATGTAATTCTATGATTTTCGAACTGCCAATTTTAAAAAAAAAGAAATACCCTTTGGATAAAATTGGCGTTCCCTGTTGGTAAAAGGGCGTTTTCTGGTGGTTAAAAGAGCGTGGCTTAAATTTTTTTGGTTTCAATCATACTTAAAATCATAAGTAAAATAAAAAATGTGTCAAACAATAAGTTAGGGTTAGGGTTAGGGTTAGGGTTAGGGTTAGGGTTAGGGTTAGGGTTAGGGTTAGGGCTAGGGTTAGGGCTAGGGTTAGGGTTAGGGTTAGGGTTAGGGTTAGGGCTAGGGTTAGGGTTAGGGTTAGGGTTAGGGCTAGGGTTAGGGTTAGGGTTAGGGTTAGGGTTAGGGTTAGGGTTAGGGTTTAACCCTAACCCTAACCCAAAGCGTAGTGTAAAAAATATATCAAAGATGCATGACATGTAATCAAGAGATAATAATTGTAACTGTATTGGCAATTTCTTGCAATCTTTAAGCAAACTTAAATGAAAACTGGATCACAGAGAACAAATAGACAAACACAGGTTGACAGCAATGAGTGCAAAGAGACTCTAAAGAGCAAGAACTCGGTCCCACCAGTCATGTTTCTTCCGCGTAGTTAGTTCAGTTCTAAATATATGCTTTTTTGAAACAACGCACAAACATTTCAGGAAATATTTGAAAATGGAAACGAGCATCTTTCATAAAAAACTTCCCTTGATAGCAACTAAATATTTTCGACAGCAGTTAAATGTCATTCAGATTCATTTGGACGATCCTTCGTAATGCTACACATGTGATCTATCGTGATAGCTTGAACTTGAAAGCATTTTGAAAGCAATGCCCTCGCTGTTACTTTTTATGGCCGTAATGATGCTGTTTGAACATAACAAACAGAACATTACCTAAATCGATATTCAAGAAACAAAGTTGCCAAAATTTTTTTTAATAGCTATAAACATTTGAAACCACAATTAAAATAAGAGAAAAAAGTGTCTGAAGAAAAAGAAAATAGGTGGCTCTAAAATAATTTTTTTCATGCCTCTTGTTTCAAATGTTATTCCTGATTTATTATATGCCATGAAGACGATAGCTGATGAACAAAAATTTTAGCTAGCAATTTTTTGACTGTCATTAAATTATCTTAGTTATAAACTTAGAAGATAAAAATAAGGAATGTTTTGAGTCAATTCGAGAATATTGTTGAGCGGCTATGGAAAATCATACTTTTCTAAACCATTTTTCATGATAAGATATCCAAAGGTTGGAACTTTCGTAAAAATATATCGTATCTTTTTTTTTAGCTTTTCACATTTTTTAGAATTGAAATTAAATGTTCAAGGCTACATGAGTACCCTTGATCGATATTATTGCCTTTCTTGACATGATCTCTTTCGTTTAATTCCTTTGCATGATATCTTGTTTATCATATTCCAATCCTTTGATGTTTTTCTAGAAATATTTATTCACAAATGAGATTCTTGATTGCTCATCATATTTGCTATCTCATTTTTCTTCCTCTTTAAATGTCTTGAAAATTTGTTAATTATTATTTAAAGACCCTCGCGTAAAATTATCCCTTTTTGCTCTTTTTGCCTTCAACTTCCATCTGACCATATAATCTGAAAACATTTTATCGCTTTGTTCAATGATTTTATCCAATGGAAGTTTAATGTTTTAAATTTATCAAGTAAATTGAATGTAAAGTTCATAAGTAAGACAGACGAGCAGTGGATTCCCTCTCCCCCCTGACCCACCTTATTGACTTTGAGGCAAAAAACAGAAGTTGCATGAATTTTCTTTATATGCCATGATGTTTTTTCAAAGCAAAAACCAAACAACTGAATATTTCCATTAGTTTGGAGACAAGTGACACGTGACAACAATCTCAGCGTTATATTTCGTAACTAGATAAAATCGCAGAATTTCTATCGTTCAATTGTATTTGTGATTTTTGCAAGGAAATCGTATGCGACATCGGTTGTATTTGAATTACATTATATTTAGCTTTTGTAATATAAATAAGTTGGTTTTGATTAGTTCCAGAATAGCTAAAGATTGTACCAACTTTAAATAAATAAAGAAAGAAAAAAAGGTCAAACGCATAAAGCGTTTAGTATCTTGCCTCTGTAAAATAGACATAAGGGGTTGCTAAAATATTTCGTAAAATCGAATTTAAGGATAACCTAGAGTAACATCGGTTGGAAGAAAGCAAATATGACAGTAGAAATCAAACATTATTCTAAAAGAGAAAAGAGGAAAACTCAAATCTATGTAGCTAAGTTAAAAAATTGAATAAGAAAGCTTTAAGAAAACTATCATAATCTTTGATCTTCAATGTTTTTTTTTCCTCACAACAATGCATTAGAATTTGAGTTAAATAGGCATCAGATGAAGGATGGTGCCTTGAGGCATCGGAAAATGATGCCTCATTTGCTACATAAAAGTGCACAGCAGCATATTATTCTATATCATACACAAATCAAAATTATGATAAAAATAAAAATAGTTGACAGGATCTGCCCCTAAAAAGGTTCGACCAAAATTGCTTTCTTTTTTTATATCGATATTGTCTTAACGACTGGCTCAAAAGCTGAAAAAGTCTTAAATTGAATTAATCATCATGTGGAGTGCATTTTTCAAAATCAACAGTGAACATTCCAACACTTTAGATCAACAATTCTTATCAAGTTTAGCGAAATATGAAGCTAATGCATGAAACTAGGTAACTCATAACCATGCAAAATGACAAGTGCTAAGATGAAAATGTATAAGTTTACGCAAAAACCATGCTTGTGGTTGACGAATCATAACTGACTGTTTACTAATCAGTTGAAGACAGATATATCAGCTGAAACTTATTCATACTGCTTGAGTTACTGCTTGGCGGGATTCAGGACAATGGAAGACCAAAAGTTATTTTCTCTTCATTTTGAGTAAGATAAACTTCAAGACAATAGTGCTGCTAAAAACTACTGCTGTCAACATTCATTCTACACATTGTATTAAGAATAATTCGCATACGATTCCGGTAGCATCGTAATGCCGATAATGCTCTAAGTTTGAGCATGTCTTGTAGTTTGAGCTGTGTGGAGGTATGGTATGGCATTGTTTTGCTTAGTATTACAAAAAAAATTGTTTTTGCATACGTTAAAACTAAGCAAAAAGATACATATCATTAGAAACTTCAATTCAAATGAAATTCGTGAAACGCGTCGCTGTTATGGCAATTAATAGCTAATTTTTTACCAACAATTAGATAAAATGTCAGACGTGTTAAACGACACTGAGAAAATTAAAAGCGAACAAAGTTATGATACCAAATGGATCTTACGTTAAAACGTAGGGAAATATTTATGCAATTGTAAATCAGAAAATTTCATCTAATCGATAATATGTCAGAAATCAAGCAAATGCTATTACTAGTAGCATTTTGTTATCAGTGAAAAATGCTTGTGTTTACTTTTCACTCAGTTGATAATATTTTCAATATGCATTAAGCTTTCGATCATCATCAATATAAGGGTTATTCTAGCTTAAATATCATGCAAAAGCTATTTGTTAGCATGGTTTTAGATTGAAACAATGTATTGTGTGTTATGTGTAGGTTATTACAATATTATTAAGTAACCGAATGATAGCACCACGGCCGAACCATTATCATCAAGTTTAAATTTCATAGTTTACTATATACACGTGAACTGTGGTAGGTGGATGATATTAGCATGTAGAAAGATTTAATGACCTTTAATTTAATAAAAATAGATTTATTTATGAGACCTTTGACAAGCTTATGCATTAGTATGAATAGGCATTCAAATGGCTATGAATATTACAGATTTACAGAGAATATTTAGCTAGTTATTCAATTCTTTATTAAACAAAAATAAGATGCAAATAAAAAGCCAAAAGATATTTCTTTTTGCAAGCAATGTCCGTTTTCAGTATTCATATGGGTTGCTACTTGAACCAGTTAATTTAACGAACAACTTTCACACTATAAATGAGGAGATGTTTTGAGATATTTGTAGCACGTTATTCTAGCCCATGTTTCCTAGATTTAATCTTACTGCTTTTTGCAATCGATGTTTCCTAGGAGTCATTATGTGGACAAAGTGGCTTAAACATCGAGTTCATATCCACGATGCTAGTATTTTTTGTTAAACGTAGTAACTTTGATAAATAAACAGGCAGCTTCAAATCAAGCTTATTTAGGAAATCTTTTACGTCCGTTGTTTTTGCGTTGTTATCAATTGGCTATCATGACAGCTATTGACTTAACTTAAGCAAGTGTTTTAGCGAGACATATACTTTAAGGAACATAAAAATACCCATTAAAAATATGAAAAGCATACACATCTTTCATCTTTGTCGCTCAAAGCGACACATCCAGTCTCAAAGCAAAGTTTCGCAGTAGAGTGGACTTAATACAGTTTTTAATTCAATATTAAAGATTCTCAGTGATTATATTTTCTCGTCATAAATAAACAAGTAGAATGATATTAGGCAGTTTAATGAACACATGGTTATTAGAAAAAGATTTGTATTTAGTCGAATGTTTTGAAGAGTTACAAAATGGCATCGGGGAAATGTTGCGATTCAGTTTGTTAGAAACGAGCAATCAAGCAGGAAAAAACAAAGTGATTTTTTAAACTAAAACAAGCAAATCCAAGACAAGGCTGCTAATATAAGGCAGGTGGCTAGCTTAAAATACAACAAACGTTTCGGATATCACTTCGAAGCCGATGAATCAATTAGAAGTTTAAAATCAGGTTTTGTCAATTAGAATTAACTAAATGAATACCACTAGAATGATGGAAATCAGATTTTGGTTAGGAAAATATATGAGCAAGGTACATTCAATACTAATTGCTAAAAATGAAAAAATTTTCATGAAATACAGCATACCATTGTAAAAGCGCTCATATCGTTGACAGCAAGCAATGCCTTTTCTGTTTACTTGATGGAAGAGGATGGCAGGTCGAACTAGCTCCAATAAGGCACGAAGAGGTACAGCAGTTAGGCACAATGAATCTTGTAAGCCACTGGTGTTGGTAAAATGATGTTCTCGCTGACTGTAGACCTCTGCGGCACTCGCTCATCTACACGACAATAAAAATGGGGAAGTTGAAAAATTGAATAGATTACTGTAAGGCGGGAATTAGACGGAGACAATAGGGTAGTTGTTCTGTATGCGTTTTGCCGAATTCAATTAGACTCGAGAGGAGATGATTCTGGATGGATGAAGTCGCACAGTGTCCCGCTGAGCATGACCATTCGCGTCATTTTCAGCTCTCGCTGACCGGGTCGTGATGGGAAATGGGAGACCGTAACAAAGGATTCAAACTTCGGCGTGCTCGTTTGGGCCGTGCATCGCACCTGTACTTGATAGCCATTGCAGATAAAGATTTTCGTTTCTCTGTGTTGTTGTAAGTGCATGGCAATTGGCGCTGTTCACTGATTGCGCTTTTTATGGCGTTTATGAGTAAAGATAGACCATACTAGCGCAGCAAACTAACAAAAACGATATATACTTTTGGGTTTTACCTTCTTCATTGTGTGCTGTATCTATCAACTGATTTGATAAAGTAAATGTGAAACAAGCTTCAAACAAGAACAATTTTTCAATCTATAGTCTTGCTAGACAAAAAGAATCTAAAAAGAAGACTTTAAAGATTGACAGAAGATTGATTTATTCACCGACAACCAAGAAAGTGTTACGGGTAATAACAAATGATTAACACTACAAATTGAAAATAAACTACTCTAAAAAATTCAACATTTCAAGATGAAATAAAGTGAAAAATTAATTGATTAGCTATTTTAAGATTGCTAGATTAGAAGATTGCATGGAATTGCGAAAACATAGCATACTAGAGTACTTTGCAGCTTAGATATAAATTTTCAGCATACTTTTTGTCATCATCCGACGTTTATACTGTGAAGAGTGTCGGACAAAAAGTGCTCAAATATGCCTCCGTTATTTTGTGTCAGTTTCGAAAAACATAATTGTTTGATTAATAACCTTTGAAAAACTGCTAATGTTTTGAATTGATCACCGAATAACTGCATTAAGGGCTTTATTAGAAGAAAAATAATACTAACAAACGGAAAGTGAAATAGTTTCAAAAAGAAATTTTGCCAAAATAAGAAAATCTCGTCAGATGACCAATGTATAATGTTACAAATTGTAACGAAACAAAATCGAGCAGTGGAACGAAAATGATTCACTTTCCAATTGCTTGTTCACGAAAAAGGCCTATTGAAATTGAGCAGAATCACCTTCTACTAAGAAAAAAATTCCATCAGGCTGTTAGCTGGGAATGAATGAATTTGTAGGTCAAGCACAATCATTTTCAATAAGTATATGTACGACTAGTGTAATTTCTTTGCTGTCATTTTTGTGCAAAAGGGCGGTCAACGTTGTACCATATTAATATATAATTGTCTCCAAGACCAATATAAATGTTCTATAAAACCTTTAAGTGCTTTTCAGGTCGCATCTGCTTATTCAAGAAACTGTAAAAACTTTGGTCCAGGCTCCAGTCATTCTAAAAATCTTTCAATCACTTTGAATATTAATTTCTGCTAACCAGAATATTGTATTTATCTTTAAAGTGTACACAGATAGTATCTCATAAAGCAACAATTTTGTCGCCTTTCAAAATATTGGTCACGAAAAAGACGCGGAATAGTTTATATTCACATTTATGTAATTATGTTCACCTAAGTATTAGAAGATTTAGATGCAATCATCAATGATCTAACGAAAACGGTCGGTGATTTTAATAAGACAGTAAACCAAATAGTATATACATGGTCACCTGCAATGTCGCTGTCACTGAAGGTCTCCTGAATGGTATATTTAAATTATCAATACTTTTTTAAACACTAGAGTTGCAGTCATAGCATAAGAATAAGATTTTAATAAACAATGGTAAGAAATACAACTTTTTGTGGTACATAATTCCAAGATACCATTGCTAGAGTAAAGAAAAAAGAATCAAGGAATGCTGAACGAAAAGCATTTCGGTGCAATGGATAATTTTTCGCCATTATCGTGGCACATTATTGTGCATGAAAAGTTCAATTTTTGAAGTACATAAATGTATAAATTCGATTTCAGTTTTATTTGATAATCAATGTACCCTAAATACAACTTTAAGCAGGTTAAAATAATGTGATACAATAATACAGCTTTTCTTGATAGCCAATATTATATAAAATATTGGGTAATATTTCATATACCGGATGATGTCTCTTATAAACTGCTGCATCCTTTATGCAACACTTTGCAAGAGACCAATAACAGTGCCTGTCACAATGTATTTACCCTTGCTTGCATCTGTCCAAAGGGCGTAGGCATTATTCACATGATAAGTTATGCGCTGTTCTCTTAATCCCATTTCAAATTGAGTGTAAAAATCTTAAAAACAAGAAAGCGAAACACAATACAGAAACATTCATAGAGGCGAGGAGGTGAAATGCAATAGAGAGAAATACATGACCTAACTTTTCAAAAATTGAAAAACTGAAGAGTGGTATTTGATAGCCATATAAATTGCTGTTCGCTTTGCCTTCAGAAATGCTGGTTGTTCAATCTGAAATAAAAATCATTCCCAAAGACTGTAATGAAGTAGATCTAAGTAGAAATTGGGACGGAGGTTCAGTTACAAAACTTAATTAGATACTGAGCTGGTTGGTGGTTTAAGAAAGAAACAGTGGCAAGTTACGTCATTCAAAGTCTTGCTTCAAAATGCACCAACTACAAGAAGATGCTTCGTTATCAAATGAAAGTTTTAAATATGTGGGCGTTTAAATCGCAGTTTAATAAAAATGATTATGCAGCTATATAGAATGGATGTATTAATCCGCATTTGCTGGGATTAAAATCACAAATTAGTTTCTCGCACTGATGCTTTTATAATTGCTTGCATTCGCTCTTACAGGTCCAATTTACCAACTCTGTTTGCAGGATGGTACGGAATATTGAGCTGGAGCAGAAATATTTTCTTTGCAGCAGTTGAAAAGAGGCCTAGCTTTTTGTTCTCATACAAATTTGATTTTATAGAAGATTATGAAACCGATTATTGTATTATTAGAGACAACTTGTCAGTCATTCTCACGTGCTACCACAGGGCCATTATACTTGTTTTAGAGCACAAAAGTAAGTGATGCTGGCTGACAAAACAAATATTTTGGTGCCATCAGGCATAATAGATACCACCAAGATACCACTGTAACGATTTATAGAAATTGCATCTTTTAAGGTATCAGCTAGGTATGATAATTCTGAAAACAGCAAGGAAAATATATTCAAACTTGATGGATGATGCCTAAAATGTGAAAATTGTTCGTGTCAGACATGTTAACATTCATTATCACCTTTTTATTGTTGGTCTTTATGCGAAATTTGAAATTTTTCCGACAAGATACATTGAAAGCAAACTGTATAACGCGGCGGAAACATACAATTTCATATAACATAAACAGCAAAATTTTAGGTACGCAGCCTTGACAAATCCTTAAATGATTTCAGAGTAATCTTACATCACTTTAGCCATTTAAAACTATCGGAGTCGATAAGAAAGGATATCGATCGCAAGTCGTTTGTCATGATATAGCTAAAAGCATTTTATAACAGTGTGTTGTGGCTAGAAATTGAAATATTTATCGCTTTATTTCTCACAACTCTTACAAAAAGTTGTTGATGTTATTGATGAATGTTTTTTAGGGAAGGGGGGGGGGAGTTTGAGGGTATTAAATTTCTAACTGACAATAAACTAATGGTAATTTTGTACTAAAATTGAACTAAACTTTTCATTACAGAACTTTGGCATTATGCGGTTCGGTCGTTTCCTTTCTGAATCGAGAAATTTCTTGGCATTAGCGTTACGTAATATCATGCTCTGATGTTAACAAGCATTGGAAAAACGACTCTAAGCTTCTTGTTGCTCTCAATTTTCCTGATTTATTAAAAGAATTTCAAAGATTGGGGGAGGGGGGGTGTCACATTTTTCTAGAAATATAACAACATTCGCTTACAAAACCTAAGAAAAGCAAGTCGTAGTTGATGTCTCGCGGTAAGAGGTCCAAAGAAAGCAGAGGACAAAATAAGAAGACAACATCAAGGATATGGATGGTCTTAGTTTGGGAACGCAGGAGGAGTGCCAAAAATTGGAAGTTCCTCATCGGCCTTTCTCGGCGTCGACCGAACAAGTGAACGTAGAATTCTGGTCTTCACTATTATGCAAATCAAGATAATAGCTTCTGAATCAAATGTGTATATAAAGAGTGAACTTACAAGATGTGTTGAGCAATTCCAACTAAACGACGAGAAGAATGTCCCTCTAACTTATCTTTCCTGCAAACTCTTCTGTCGCGTCTCCAATAGCTGACTTCATCTACAATTGCAGCTAGGAAGTGTGGTGCGTTTAAGAAATGCAATCTGTTCGTCTAAACTAATTGCAATTAAAAGAGACTGTTATTGAAACGAACAGAACTGAATATGTAACGAATTCATATGGTGCAAGAATCAATTAATGTAGTGTAGCAGAAGGAAGACGCTGTGACCTTGCTTCCTAAAAATAAAGTTTCAACATATACGAAGTCAGACTTTGGCGCGTCACCTTAAAAGCATTTTAATCAGCCATGTACGGACCATTCTTTGTCAAGGCTGTGGGCCGAGCCAAAGCTTTTTATCTCAAAAGCAAAACTCTCCAAATCTCAGTAAAAAACAACAAAATGTTAATCATCAAACTTCAATTACTTTCAAAAGTCTTGGAACACTTACGTAGAGTCGTGTCGCCATGAGTTGGTGCACTAGTCGCATCTTGATTTTTGACCCTTTCGTATTAAAATTTAAAAGAAGAGATGATGAAAGTCGAGGTTTGCCGAAAATAAGCGCGAAAATGATTTGCTGACGCCATTTCAGCATTGTCCAGTTTCTAGTGTTGTTTGGTTTACATGCGAAAATTTTTGCAAATATTTTGAAGTTTGGTTGCAGAAACTGAAAAATGAGTTCCGTTCATTTTCAGACTGTATTTTCCGGCAAGTCCTCTGTTTTTGATATAAATACAACTCCAATACTTCTGCAGCTCCCATAAACGTTGAACATTACGACTTTGAGGGAAAACTTTTAACTATTCAATATCTCTTGAAACAAGGGATTTTTTCAGAACGCTTTTTATTTTCCACACGTCGCCATAGTGGTGCATCTCCCGAAATCCAAGGGATTTTTTCAGAACGCTTTTTATTTTCCACACGTCGCCATAGTGGTGCATCTCCCGAAATCCACCCAGGGTTGCCTGTAAAGCAACAAGCGTTGATTTTCAAAAAAATCTAAACGCACAGCACCCTCCCCAGCCCAATGGCATATATCCCCTCTAAACATCCCCTTTTACAGGATTGAAAGAATTAGATGAACTTGATTATATATAGTTATATTACAAAATAGTTACCTGTTCTATGCTGTTAATTACATAGCTGCAAATTAAACAAATTCTTACATCCATAGTCTTTGTAGCGGCGCTAGCGCACTTGATTTTGGTGCGTGCAACAGTATGGCCTAAGTTCTTTCGCACAGCGTTCTCCTTGGTAATGTTGGTTGTACGGAAAGCATATCAAATAAATTTAAGAATAATTCATAACATCGTTTTGGTGACACACCAAGGTGTCTTTCAGAAGAGAGTAAATTTTTCCTAAACTTATTTTCAAACAAGATAACACTTATTTGCTAAATAAAAAATAAAAAAGGTAGGGGTTATGTAGTATGCCTTTTCTTGTGGCTTTTTTTTATACTTTCCTATTCTTTCAACGTTGTTTTGGGGGGAAAGGGGGACGGAAGTAGTAGTATTCGGGAAAACGAATGAAAAATAGAAAAGCACAGCGCAAAGTGTTGGGTGTTCCAAGCAGTTCTGACAGTGATTTACTTCTCTCGTCTCTTGAGAGATCAGGAATGACAACTGGAAACGCAATAGTTGACAGCAATAATCT